TTTAACCCCGCCACAATCTGTATGTATGTGCCTGTTCCAAGTTAGGAGCCTGTTATTCAGTGGTTGTCGTTTGTTTATGTGCTACATATTTGTTTTTCGTTCATTTTTTGTACATAAATTAGGCCGTTGGTTTTCTCGTTTGAATTGTTTTACAATGTCATTTCGGGGCCTTTTATAGCTGACTGTGCGGTATGGGCTTTGCTCATTGTTGAAGGCCGTACGGTGACCTATAGTTGTTAATGTCTGTGTCATTTGGTCTCTTGTGGAGAGTTGTCTCATTGGCAATCATACCACATCTTCTTTTTTATATTTGCAACACACTAACATATTGTATTATAAGACATTTGGCAGAGATTTAAGTTAAGATTATAAAATAAATATTTATTTCGTTTCATTTCGTTTCGTTTTGCTGTATTTCGTTTCGTTTTGCGCTATTTCGTTTCGTTTCGTTTTGTTCCGTTCCGTTTCACACTTTACAGGTACCCCTTTATTAAAGTTGAGGAACGAATGTTGTCCTCAAGATGTCTGCATTTTTTGTTGGGTTGTTTACTAATGGACGTTTATCCCACAACTGCCTTCATTCATAAAAGTAGTAGGGTATGAATAGTTGTTTAGTCCTCGCCCTTCAATTTTCATTTGATAAGTTAAATAGCACAAACTTGTACACAGAGACAAATATAATTAAAATCCGTACAGAAAAAGCACTTACTCTATTAACAATAGTCTATGTTACAGCTAAAAGTAAAACAATGCTGGATAATCGAAACAAAATTTTGTTGAATTGCTTATATAATAGTAGTTAAAGTTGTGTGCATTGTTACATATACTTCAATATTGGCCGCTGCACTTGCAAGCAGATTCGTAATGCAGTAATATTGTATAACGCAGTGTAAAGTAGGTATGGCCCAATATGACTTACCGTATACGGTATGGGTTTTGCTCATTGCTGAAGGTCGTATGGTGACCTATATTTAAATATATCCATGCCATTTGAACCCTGGTGGATAGTTTCATTGTCAATCACACTTTATCATATTCTTATTTTTATATCGGGTAGAGATTTTCAATACAAAATAACATAAATGTAATTATTTTTAGCCATGTCTCAAACTATAAACATGATAAATATGATCATTAATTTCATTGAATAAAAAAAGATTTCTTGGTTTTATTTCACTTTCTGTTATTTTTTGTTTTATTTCACTTTCTGTTATTTAATATGTATTTAGGAAAGTAATATAAATCAGTTGATTACTCTATAGTATTAATAACAGATGTTGTTGTTCAAAATCAATGTATTGTTCGGATGAATGTTTTTCCCGAGTAAGGTAAATATAAGTTAACACAGTAATGATCACGCTAGCAGATATTTTTAAAACTTGACATTTAACAAAGTTAGTTCATAGTTTAAAATTTACGTTTCCGCTTAGCTGTCTAATCGTTTAATTTAGCAACACATGTAGGTGTACCATTCCCCTGTAGAACCTTGCCATCGATTGTCGGCTGTTTCTTACTGCTTTGGGGAGCGTTCGGTGTTGAGTTGGTATATTTGGCAGTCTATGTTGCATTTAGCTTCAATTTATTTTGATTGGGACCAGGTTGAAAAATGAAAACAAAATATCCCTAGAAAAATACACGCCCTCCCCACAACCCCCGCGTAAAATGTTCAGTGATCGTTGCCTTAATAATAAAAATTAACAGTTTGTATATTTTGATAACCTTGTCTATTCTCTACATAACATTGTAATAAAATGCTTCGCAGGGCGCAGCTTGATACGACCGCAGAGGTCGAACCCTGAACAGTTGGGGCAAGTATGGACACAACATTCAAGCTTGATACAGCTCTGAATTTGGATTGTGATTAAATATTTGGCACAGCATAGGTTTCTGACACAGAATGAATGTGGTCTAAGAACTTAAAAATTTTATATTGGACATTCACCTATTATGGTCCAATATCCAAAATCTAAATACATGGTTAGATTCAGCATATCAAAGAACCCCAAGAATTCAATTTTTGATGAAATCAAACAAAGTTTAATTTTGGACCCTTTTGACCTCAATGTGGACAAAGTTGATAATGGGGCCCAAAAATCAAAAAATTAAATACATGGTTAGATTCAGCATATCAAAGAACCCCATATATTCAATTTTTGTTGAAATCAAACAAAGTTTAATTTTCGACCTCGATTTGGACCAACTTGAAAACTGGGCCCATAATCAAAAATCTAAATACATGTTTAGATTCAGCATATCAAAGAACCCTAAGAATTCATTTTTTGTTAAAATCAAACTAAGTTTAATTTTGGACCCTTTGGACCTTAATGTAGACCAATTTGAAAACGGAACCAAAAATTAAGAATCTAAATACACGGTTAGATTCGGCATATCAAAGAACCCCAATAATTCAATTTTTTATGAAATCAAACAAAGTTTAATTTTGGACCCTTTGGACCTCAATGTGGACCAATTTAAAAACGGGGCCCAAAATCCAAAAACTTAATACACGGTTAGAATCAGCATATTAAAGAACCCCAAGAATTCAAGAATAAAACCCCATTGAAATTGGTCAAGAAATAAGCAATTTATACGAAGTATCTTCTTTTGCACAATACTGTGCAATTGAATATTTCTTGCTATTGCGCAATACTGTACAATTGACAATTTCTTGCTATTGCGCAATATTGTGCTATTGGATATTTCTTGCTATTGCACAATACTGTGCAATTGAAGATTTCTTGCTATTGCGCAATACTGTGCAATTGAAGATTTCTTGCTATTGTGCAATACTGTGCAATTGAAAATTTCTTGCTATTGCACAATACTTATTATATAATAATTTACACATCCTGTTTGGTGTGTATCTCCTACCATATCATTATTATTTGCTTAAATTTTAAAAGAAAAAAAAAAGGAAAAAAAGAAAAAAAAGGAAAAAAAAAAAAAAAAATCCCCCCCCCCATAAATTTTTTGAACCCCCTTATGATTCATCACCCCCAAACTCTATCCCAGCCTTCCCTTTGTGGTATGGTACCTTGCAGTACAATTTCAGAGAGATCCATACACTTGAACACAAGTTATTGTCTGGAAACTAGAAAAATGCTTATTTTTGGCCCCTTTTTGGCCCCTTATTCCTAAACGTTTTGGGCAATTACCCCCAAACTCAATTCGAGCTTTCCCTTTGTGATATGGAACCTTTTAGTACAATTTCAGAAAGATCAATACACTTACACACAAGTTATTGTCATGAAACTAGAAAAATGCTTGTTTTTTGCCCCTTTTTTGGCCCCTAATTCCTAATATTTTGAGGCAATTACCCCCAAAATCAATCCCAGCATTCCCTGTGTGATATGGAACCTTGTGGTACAATGTCAGAGAGATCCATACACTAACACACAAGTTAAGTCTGGAAGTTACAAAAATGCTTATTTTTAGCCCCTTTTTTGGCCCCTAATTCCTCAACTGTTGATACCATAACCCCCAAAATCAATCCCAACCTTCCTTTTGTGGTATTGAACCTTATGGTAAAAATTCATAGAGATCCATTCACTTAAACTAAAGTTAGAGTGCGAAAACCAATGTGTCTTCGGACGACGCCGGACGACGCCAGACGACGACGACGACGACGACGACGACGACGACGCCAACGTTATACCAATATACGACCACAAAAATTTTTTGCGGTCGTATAAAAATGGAACATCCTATTATTAACATTATACTTTTATTCCCCTGTGCATCTAAGCACTCTAAACAGTTAATCAGTCAGTAAACGCTGGTATCAGGAAGATAAATACTCTTGTTTTATTGTGAAAGTTATTATAAGATAAATCGAAGTAGAAATTATCAAAACGATGAACTTGATTGATCGATCATACAAATATATATTTGTAACATCGGCATTCCAATTGGTACTAGTTGTATGCCTGTGTTACTCAGCTTTATTGTACTGATATAAGGGAGAGTTTTTACAAAATCTCTATACACGACAAACTTGTTTATACATATACAGATATGTATTGATGAGGTTGTTTTTGGTGTTATTACACTAGACAAAGACATGGTCTCTTTCATAACTATATTTTTTTTCTAAAGAAAATGACAGTTAGTGACAGTTCGTTAAATATATATAATCTATGAAAAACGCGACAATTTCAATTTGCCTTTTCTACACGTTCTAGATTCTGCGATATTGAGCCTACCATATCTAATAGTATTATTTTGTCATGAACAGTTTTTGGGGTGTCTGTAGATATAGGAAGATGTGGTATGAGTGCCAATGAGACAACTCTCCATCCAAGTTACAATTTATAAAAGTAAACCATTATAGGTCAAGGTACGGCCTTCAACACGGAGCATTGGCTCACACCGAACAGCAAGCTATAAAGGGCCCCCAAAAAAAATACTAGTGTAAAACCATTCAAACGGAAAAACCAACGGTCTAATCTATATAAAAACGAGAAACGAGAAACACGTATGAACTACATAAACAGACGACAACTACTGTATTCAGATTCCTGACTTAGGACAGGTGCAAACATTTGCAGCGGGATTAAACGTTTTAATGGTACCAAACCTTCTCCCTTTTCTGAAACAATAGTATAACATCACAACATAGAAAAACACATTATAAAATATCAATTGGAAGGCTTAACTCAATCAAAAAACGTAAATTAACACACAATGAACGAATAAATTTGACCTGTGACACCTGAATGCAAATAAACAGTAATAAAAAATTAAAAGGGATAAATAATTAAAGTCAAAAGTAATGTTTCACTGACGGTGAATTAATGTTTTCTTTTCTAACTGTGGAGAAATATATAATGTTTATTGTTGTCCTTCTATTGACATTTTTGTATGTGGTATTTGATTTTTAAATCTTTAGGTTTGAGCATTTCTGATGAAGGTAAATCCTGAAATACACTTCCACTTAGAACATACGAAATTTATAAAGTGTTACTAATATTTACTTTTCATAAAAAAAATGGGAAACTTCGTTAAAAAGTACAAAAGATTTATTTAAACATTTAATTTATTAACTTAACCATACCATACACACTTTTCTCTAAGATCACATGTACACATATATTGGGTAAAAAAAAACATGCAAGAATAAGACAAGGGAAAATAACACAATCAATATTTTCTAATATAACTATACAGCCAAACTGAAAAGTTTATGGTAACATAACAAGTTACCCAAGTTAGCGAGATTCACCATATAGTTCGCATGTCTTTCTCATTACTCTGTGAAAATTCATCATGTTGGTCTATAATGTCTGGTGATGTGAAGTGTCTGAACCATCAAGGAACTTCTGACCACTATATAATTCACAGTTGCAGGTCATTTCTAATCCACATGTCCTGCATCCTTTATGGTCAGCCGTCTTGAACAATATATTGCTAGTGTTACTGTGCATACTGTCAGACAGATGAAGAATATGTAGAATGTTTCTTCATCGAATATGTCTGTGAAGGCAGGAATATGAGCCGACAGCTTACTTACTATCTTTTTAGTGCTACCATCTTTTGGCAACATGATGATTCTTTGAAAAACCTGTAAAAGAAAACATTTTTATACGAAAATAAGCATGGCCTTGTTATTTTATCGAGGTATGGTGTGGTCTTACTGAAAAATGACTGATGCGCGTTCACTTCTAGGAACTGATACATGTAAATGTTTCGTTGTTTAATTTGTTTATACATGTAAAAATAAAAATATTCCTGTGTGTACATGTCAATATTTGAAATTGTTTTTTTTTATAATATGTGCTTGGCATTCCCTGACAAACGATCGCACCTCTATGATTTGTAGTTAAGTTAGAACTAGATCAAAACACAAAACTTAAATGAACATTAACCAAAACTACATCCATGCGTAAAACACCCCAAAAAATGAAAGTCAACTAGATGGAAGAAACGTTATATCCCCGACCCTTCAACATACATTTGTTGGGCAATTGGATAATAAAAGGGTGTGTGAGGTTTACGTCAAACAGACAGCAACCTAAAGACTCATCAAACCAAGACGCCCAGGTCAACATACTAATCCATATTCGTCCTCATCGAGACATAATTATGATAAACAACATGAACAATGAACAATTTCGTGTAATCATGGTAATGTACAATTGTAGATTATGGCAAAATTAATAGGTAAATAAGAAAAACCATGACTTTGAAATTGACATATATTGCTGAATTCTACTAGAAGTATCAAGTCCTTCATGTATTAGTCCTAACATCAACATTTTTCCATTGTATCAGTTTGATACATCTGCATGTAAGTAAAGAACTAGATATAAATTCACCTACATTTTAGTCTGAACTGTAATTCTATAGAATCCATATTTGAAAAAAAAACCTGTTTTCCTTTTTTTTTGTTTAAATCAAATTTATTAATTGAATTCAATGCCTTTAGTTTTTCCTGGGACTACTACAACACAGACAACATATGTGTTATAGTAGTCTCCAAACGTAAACGTACTGAGACAAAAAAAAGATAGGCCAAAGATACCAAAGGAACATTCAAACTCATAAGTCAAAAATTGACTAACAACGGCATCATGGGCATGGCAAAACGAAAAAGACGAAAGAAAAAAAAACAGTATACAAAACATAACATAGAAAACTAAAGACAGAGCAACACTAACCCAACAAAAAACCGGGAGTGATCTCACGGGTGCTCTGGAAGGGTAACACGTTTAAGTTAACGCCTTTTCATTGAACTATCCTTTTTATGCAGTAAAGTATAGCTATGTCTTATTATATCATGTATATAGAGATACATTGAATAGGTTTACCACATGTGCAACGATTGTTATTGCCCCCCCCCCCCTTGGGTTTGTCACATGTTAATTAACTAATAATCAGATCAATACGATATCTCGGTTGATCGATAATTGACAGAAACGTTTATTCATAATTTATTCATATATATGTTGTGTACAAGTTATCATTTTGTACAAATTATTATTTGTACAAATAAATTGTACAAATTATAATTTGTATTTTGACTTTGTACAAATTGTAATTTGTACAAAATGTGCTTTGTAATTTGTACAAAATTTGACAAAAAATCACTTATAACTTGTACAATGATTTATAGTATGGATTTTGTTATATAAAAAGCATTGATACATACTATAGAATTTTTATTCAATGACCACACAATAAACCTTATTTACAAAATACAAAAAGAGTTCTGTACCATTTGTTTGAAATGTGAGTGAATTATGGCATCGGGAATTGCACAAAATCTTTTGCTTTTTACATTTACATTTAAAAGTGCTGCACCCCTTTGCATTAACATGAAAGAAACCCCCGACCACCATTTTTGGAAAGCTTTGTAACTGCTTCACGTAGCGAAAGTTGAAGCTCAGGAACCGTTGCTGCGAATACAGATGTGTCTTTAACAGCTTCAATTTGATTTCTCGACAAATATCCTGTTAAAATTCCTACAAACATTCCAATGCTGTACCCAAATTCTCCAGATTCAAAAATTACACCTAAGATATTTCGAGGATCAGTTAGGGCACGATCATCCTGAGGAATTGGTATAAAGACATTATCCCCCACATCAAGTTCTGATAATTTCGGTTTCGTTTTTTTTGTTAAATTTTTGGCTTGGAACTGTTGGCCAAACAGCGCACGTTTTCTGACACTTATGATTGTTGTTTCAACGTCAGTGTCACCCTGATTGTCACTGGGGCCAATTTTTATTATATTATCAGAATTGTCACTAGGGCCAATTTTTATTATTCTATCAGAATTGTCACTCGGGCCAACTTCTGTTGTACCTATCAGAATTGTCACTGTGGCCAATTTTTATTATTCTATCAGAATTGTCACTGGGGCCAATTTCTATTGCACTATCAGAATTAACTGGCATGCATGTATCAATTACATTTCATGTCTCCATCTGGGTATTTTCATACGACCGCAAAAAATTTTTGGGGATCGTATAATGGTATGATGTCGTCGTCGTCTGCGTCGTCCGAAGACACATTGGTTTCCGGACAATAACTTTAGTTTAAGTGAATGGATCTCTATGCATTTTTTTAAGAAGGTTCAATACCACAAAAGGAAGGTTGGGATTGATTTTGGGGATGATGGTCCCAACCGTTTAGGAATCAGGGGCCCAAAAAGGGGCCGAAAACAAGCATTTTTCTAGTTTCAGGATAATAACTTGTGTATAAGTATTTCAATTGCTCTGAAATTGTACCACAATGTTTAATACCACAAGTAGAAGGTTTGGATTCATTTTAGGGGTTATGGGGGCAACTGTTTAGGAATTAAGGGCCAAAAAGGGGCCAAAAACAAGCATTTTTCTAGTTTCCAGACAATAACTTGTGTGTAAGTGTATGGATCTCTCTCTGACATTGTACCACAAGGTTCCATATAACAAAGGGAAGGCTGGGATTGAGTTTGGGGTTAATTGCCCCAAACATGTACGAATTAGGGACCAAAAAAGGGTCAAAAACAAGCATTTTTCTAGTTTCCAGACAATAACTTGTGTGTAAGTGTATGGATCTCTCTGAAATTGTACTACAAGGTTCCTTACTACAAAGGAAAGGCTGGGATTGAGTTTTGGGGTTATTGCTCCAAGGGTGGTTTCAAAAAGTCGGTGGGGGGGGGGGGGATTCTTTTCTCAATTTTTTTAAGGGATTCATTTTTTTTTTCAAAATTTAAAAAATTTCGAGTTTTTTAAAAGTTTCAAGAAGAAATCTTCAATTGCACAGTATTGTGCAATGGATTTATAAGATCTTTGACCACATTTATTTTGTGTCAGAAACCTATATTATGTCAAAAATTTGATCACAATCCAAATTCAGACAGTATCAAGCTTGAATATTGTGTCCAAATTTGCCCCAACTGTTCAGGGTTTAGACATCTGCGGACATATCAGGTTGCGCTTAGCGAAGCATTTTATTGTATTTGGGAATAAGGTTTATTGTGTGGTCAATGAATAAAAATTGTAGTGTGTATCAATGCTTTTTTTTGTAACAAAATCGATACTATGAATTATTGTACAAGTTATAAGTGAATGTTAGTCAAATTTTGTACAAATTATAATTTGTACAAGCACTTTTTGTACAAATTACAATTTGTACAAAGTCAAAATACAAATTATAATTTGTACAATTTTTTTGTACAAATTATAATTTGTACAAAATGATAACTTGTACACAACATATATATACATTAAAAGATGACAGTTGTATATAATTTGCATTTTCTTTCCCTGGAACTCTGCCTTATCAGTCTTATATGATATATTTATATTGTATGTCTCTGGCCATTTACAGTTTTACAACTTATTCAATAAACGGAGTGAAGTCGTGTCCATTCCCACATTTTCACACTCTAAATTTAGAATATCTAACTGAATAGGGATCATTCGTAATATTTCTTCCTGTAGACGTCGCTGGTGTTCCATAAGTGGTTGTCGGAAACGTTTTAATCACTTGGACGCTTGAATCGCATTACGTTGCACATGTTTACATTAGTAACCACAAATTATCGACACTCGCTAATTTCACCAACCTAAGCTTCAAAATTGTTGTGTCCCCGGCTGCAATTATTCTGAAGGGGGACCACAGATTCCCAAAAGACAATGAAATTCTTTTGAAATGGAGAGAAGGCATCAAGAGAGTTGATCCACCCATCAAAAATATCTAGCCTTCTAGGGAAACCCGGCGGAAAGTCGACCAAGTTTGCCATAACCAGCTGATAACCATGTCATGCCAGGAGATTATATAACAACAGGATTAGGTTATTATGTATTTATATTTTTTTTTATATTTAGTACATTATTAAACCTCTTTGTTTCATTTTTTCTCGATTAAACAGTCCAATAATTTGACAGGTTATTATTTATTAAAATAGGGGGATGACACAGGGATGTATTTTATTCTTCAAATATACCCTCACACTTTGCAAGTTTTTTCCTAGTCTTCACACTTTATAAGTTTTTTCCTAGTTCTCACACTTTGTAAGTTTTTTCCTAGTCTTCACACTTTGTAAGTTTTTTCCTAGTCTTCACACTTTGTAAGTTTTTTCCTAGTCTTCACACTTTGTAAGTTTTTTCCTAGTCCTCACACTTTGTAAGTTTTTTCCTAGTCCTCCCACTTTGTAAGCTTTTTCCTAGTCCTCACACTTCGTAAGTTTTTTACTAGTCTTCACATTTTTTCACCCTTTTACCTTTGTTTGCATTGTAAATAAGAAATAATAATTATGTTGTGCACTTAATTATAGCAAGTGAAATATATTTCCCTGACAAAACAATGCATGAAAGGAAGAGAACTACATATATTGGGAAATATGACAATCCCTATATTGCATTCTAAAAAAAACCATGGTACACATGAGCATAATTTTTTTATTTGTTTGTCGCAATAAAGTCTGAATTTTCTAAGGACTTTACATTAAACTTATGGCAAAAGCTGTGTGAACAATTTTTTTTAATTCTTCAAAGTTGGAAATCAAAGAGTATTTTTGTGAGAAAAAAAACATCACACACATACCCGCATTAAACGCTTGTCCTTTATGAATGATAAGAAAAATTTCTGAACCTGCAGTTTATTAAATAACATGATGCTTTGTGGTTTCCTGTTTTAATATTTCAGAAGCCATCATGGATAACAGACTTTTTACCCAACCATGAAGTGATGGATGGGATACATCTTTATGTTTAAAATGAATTCATGGTTAAAATCCAAGTGGCTGCAAGTGCGAGGATCAATACTTCTGTCAGAACCAGATGTAAAAAAAAAATTTGACAAAGGTGACAACAAATGGCAAATAGTGGAATTATGAAACAGGATTTATTTACTAGCCAAGACAGTTCGATCCTTATATTAACACACAAACTTTTCTGAAAGGGAAATTCCAACTAGATCAGAAGAAAGTAGTTTGTGATAGAAAAGTGTCATCCAACCGAATTCACATTAAAAGAGTCCTTGTATTGTCTAAAAGTTACACAAGGGTAAAACTTAATGCCCCTCCTTCGCTGTGGCAGGGGAATAAAAAATCTGAAACATGTAATTCCACGTGGAAACTTCTAATTCAACTTGGTTCCAGAATTATCTATGTTTGCTGTGTTCTTTCTAATCTCATAAAAATACATTGTAAATAAATATGCATAAAAGATGAAATGGATTTACATGCAATTGATTTTATTATTTGTTCTAATGTGGTGCTGTTTCACCACTGCTTTCCCAGTTAGCACCAAAAAAAAATAGAAAATGTTGAAAAAATATTGTAGAAAAATATCAAACTCATGCAAAAATGTATGGCGTTAAAAATATTTTCAAAACATTTTCATGATACTTTTCAAACATCATTAAAATGTTACTGAATTTTGATGACAATGTTTGTAAAATGTCTTATAAATGATTTGAATGTGTCTGTTAATCAAATATCCCTGAAACATTTTAAAAACATATAAAAATTCATTTCTGCAGGATAAAATGTTTTGAAAAAGTTCAAAAAATATTTTTTAACAAAATGTTTTAATCATCTTCATATTCTCAAAAAATCGTTAAAAAAAAATCATTTAAATGTTATACGAAATATCATTATAAAAATGTTTTCTAACATAATCTTTCAAGTCCTTTTATAAAATATTCAGAATATAATTGAGAATGGAAATGGGGAATGTGTCAAAGAGACAACAACCCGACCATACAGCAGACAACAGCCGAAGGCCACCAATGGGTCTTCAATGCAGCGAGAAACTCCCGCACCCGGAGGCGTCCTTTAGCTGGCCCCTAAACAAATATGTATATTAGTTCAGTGATAATGGACGTCATACTAAACTCCAAATTTTACACAAGAAACTAAAATTAAAAATGATACAAGACTAACAAAGGCCAGAGGCTCCTGACTTGGGACAGGCGCAAAAATGCGGCGGAGTTAAACATGTTTTTTGAGATCTCCCCCCTCCCCCCATACCTCTAGCCAATGTAGAAAAAACAAACGTACAACAGTACGCATAAACAATGTTTAATATCAGAGACAGATTTAGGAGTGGGGTGCCTTTATGGCCCTTATGGAGCTACATTTATGGTTAATCCAGATTTTTTTATTACTCTCAAAACTTTGTCTAGTTTGGGGTATGATGACCCCTTTCTATGCCCCCGCAACTGAAAGTTGGGGGAGGGGGCATATTATTTTACCCCGGTCTGTCCTTCTGTCTGTCTGTCCGTCCGTCCCATTATGGGTATATAGTTATTCAGCATAACTCCTCCTACAGTTAGAATCCTAGGAAGTTTTCACTTTGCTGTCTGTTTGTACATATATTGAAGATGTGCATGTGGTCAGGGTTTTGATTTTTATTAATATTTGCTCTTTTGGGAGATACAATGTAGTTGAACTTTGTCATTTTTGGGGTATAAGCGGTTAAATGTTATAGTTATTTTAAAATAACACTTTGCATCTACGGGGGCATCAATTGTGTCTCCCAGACACAATAATATCTCAAAGAAAGTCCTACATTGACTTTGTTTTAATACAGTTACTTCAGAGTGGATTAGGGGGGATCACTTTATTTAGATTCAAAATCCTGGATCAACATTTGAGAAAACAACTGCCGTCATACTGATCTCCTTTTACATTTGTCTGCATGCTGTTGATGCCGGCTTAATCTACATATATTTTGGCTATTTTTGTCGGGTTGATGTCTCATTGACAAACCCCAATATTTCCTGTCTTAGATATCAATTTTATTGAATAGTCCATTTTTTTGTATTTTGCACTGAACACATATGAAAAAGAAGATGTGGTATGATTGCCAATGAGACAACTCTCCACAAGAGACCAAATGACACAGAAATAATTACAACTATAGGTCACCGTACATCCTACAACAATGAGCAAAGCCCATACCACATAATTTGTTTCACTTGCATAGAGGTATTAATTTTTTCAGATTATAAATATCCTCATGCATTTCATTTGGTCCAGCATTGAACAAATTTTTTTCTTAGAAGTGTTTTTTTATCTTTTGTTTGATCATGTGTAGCATCTGTCATTTTCTGTCTGAACAGCTTTTCGATGGTTTTTTTTGCTGTCTTGGTCAACAATACACAAGATAACAACAATAAGAAATGCAAAAATTTTATTTAATTTTGTCATTTCACTGTTCTTTTTCATTTTTTCTTTTGTTCCATTCTTTTTATTTCTCTTGACTTCTGCTGGCTTCTGTAAAGAAAATGTTAACAAATTAGTCCTGTTGTTTAGTGAGTAAACTAGTGGAGATAATTTAAATTTCACCAAATTACACAAGAAAATTTTATTTTAATCCAGTCTGGTTTCATAAAAATTTATATTGAAAAGCGACATCTAATCAGTGTGGCTGGATTCGGAAGGAATATTCATAGCTATTAGATATGCACGTACATCTGTGGAGTTTCAGGTGTATTATTATCATACGAGTCTGTAACGGTAGAGTTCACCAATACTAAAATAAAACTGTACAGTACCATTTTCCCAACTGAGATTAGGTCCTGTAACCTTTACTTGGTCTTAACACAAATACATTTTTGTGATATAGATTGAGGCTATAAAAGGATAAATACCTTCACACAATCTGCTCCTCCAGAATGTTTTGAACCTAAGCTTATACATTTTGGCTCCTCTAACTGATTCTACAAAAGATAAAAAAAAAGACAAAATATCAAATAAAATACAGTCAAGAAAAAATCACATTGTACAAGTCAGCTACAAAGGTCACAACATTCAAAAATGAAAGAAAATTCAAACAAGAAAACTAATGGCTTGATTTTAAATTATAAAATAAGACAATAAAAAAACAAATATATATGTATATATATCAGAAATTAACCAACTATAACTACTAGATTAAAGGCTCCTGACTAGGATTGACACATTAACAATTATCTATACTTACAAAAAATGTATCTGGCCTGGCCTGAAGGGCTAGCGATTAATCACAGGCACTTGTCTCAGAAAAAATTTCCTATATGCCTTAATATAACACGTGTTATATATTGAGGTATATAGGAAATTTTTTTCTGAGACAAGTGCCTGTGCGATTAATCATGAAAACTGTATAATGAATATATTGTCTTTCATGGTTACAAATATCTATCAGTAGAAAATGTTATCTATCAGTAGAAAATGTCTGCAATATTTCACTATTTTATATTACTTTACTAACTAATACATTGTTGATGACGCTGAAAACAGCATACCTAATATATGCTATGTCTTGCTTTTGGACTCTGTCAAGGCAAGACAAAAAGGAAAGAAATCAATGATTCAAGTTCAAATATATTGATGGATTGTTGGAATCTTAATGTCCAGTGACAAATATTTAATGCATGTTCCAGCCAAAGTTTAATTAAACAAGCTAAGGAATGGTTTGAATTTTTTTTAAACATGTAGGTAAAGATTTTTTAAAGTACTATTACATAGATTAAAATGTTAGGATTACAAAGGAGGTTTCTGCTTGCCATGAAATATTTGAAAAACAAGATATCAAGTGGATTTAATGGTATAACTAATAAAATTTTGAAAAATTCTTGTATGCTGAATGTTGGGCATGATATGTATATAAAATTATGAAACACTACTTTTTTCTTAAAAATTAATAAAATTTTCTCTCTAGCAAGAAGTTCTTATTGGAGAGAAAATTTATTTAACCCATATTCAAAGGAAGATGTTTTAATAGCCCTTCAAACCATAGAGGTATAACCCTTTTTACTAGTTTAGGAACATTTTTTTCTAGAGAATAATAGTTTAGAAAACTATTTAGAATCATATAAGATTATCTGCCAAGAACAGATAGGATTCAAAAAAGGACGTAGAACTATAGGGACCACATTTCTAAGTTTAAAAAATATTTAGTTGGGTTAGTTTTCATAATTATTTTCTAATCAATTTTGAAGAATTTGAAATTATTCCATATTTAAATAATTCCTTGTTTGAACTTGAATTACAAATAAAACTTCATTATAGATGTATATATCTTTAAAATTTCCAAAAATGGCCCCATCATGTTATATGTAAAAAGTTTGCAGAGAAGGGCCTTTATATTTTTTTTACAGTGTCTTTTTTTTAAGTTGATGAAGCTGAGACATATTAAAAGATTTAAAGCTTAAAAATGTAGAATCATGTCTTGTTTAAAAGTGGTATTGGGAGGATTTAATACTTTCCTTGTGTAATTGTCCCATTTTCAAAAGTAATAAATTGTTTATATATAACTGGGACTATAATACTATTAGTATAATAGTCCCAGTGTATAACAAGTTAAATTTAATTTTCCCTTGCCCAGTCTGCATGGTTTATATCACATTTCATGGCCAACAGATAATATCTGTATAGAACCCCTATTTTTAATTATTATTATACAAAATCATTTAAATGTATCCTAGAAAGTTTAATTATACATTCATGACTATTTATAAGTTCAGTGGGTTTTTTGTTGTTGTTTTTTTTCTAACTTGGGGTACATGTATTTGTCACTTGGTATTTCACTAAATATTTCATAAAAAATTGCATTTCAAAAGATTATTTAGGGGACATTTCTGATTTGATTTTATGCAACTTGGTACCAACAGCAGAATAATTATTTGTTTATTTTCATTTTCTTCTGAGATAAACATAAATATTATTGTCTATTATAAACAATCTTGCTATATATTTATATTTCAACCAAATTGAATTGTAAAAAATAGTACATGTGTTCACATCAGGAGAAAATAAAAACAACTGATGACAGAGCTATGACAAAACAATCAAATACTCTTTATATACAATTCAGCGTTTTTCAACACATTATTTGTAAAAATACAACCATAAATGCCTCCAATAAACGTGTTTTTATATGAAATATATAGCCCAAAAATGTAGGTACCGAAATCTTTTTGGCCATGTACTGTAGCGGCGTTTCCGCTTTATATAATAGAAGAAATCTCAATATTTTTTTAAATACATCGTTTACCTTTCTATAAGATCTATAGTTCTGTCTCTTGTGACAGCTCCATGTAACGTTAGTTCTGGAACAGACCAGGTGATGTAATCATCGGATGCCATTGTTTACGTTGTAAATACAGATGCAAGCGTTTTACGTGATTGAAGCGTTCAAGTAACCACTTATGGAACCGCAGCGCCGCCACGCGTGAAAAGTCGTGAATGATTCCTATTTCCGGGTATCAAATTTCTTTTAAAAAATCTATTTAAAAGTCAACAAAACAAAAGAAAAAGAAATACCTTATTCGTTTCAAGACCTGGGAATCAATCTTCACACAATACCACTCTCCAAGCTATATTTTGAAATAAGATCTGTCCACTTGTTTGTAATTTCCAAATGAGGTATTCTTGATACGGATATGCCTAGTTTGATCTCACTTTGAGTTACTATCGTGGATCTACTTTGTTATAAACACTCTTTCATAGTAAGAAAACAAAGTTAAACACAATGTTTACGTAACACAATGCTCCCAAGTCCTAGGCGTGTGTAATTCAATGGTTAATGAGTATTGATCTGAAGTTGCATGTCTAAAATTAGAACAAAATCTGGTATGGATATGAATGAAATTCAGGCTGTATAATTATAAATAATGGAAAACTACATTAATTCTGGAACACGAGGATGAAATATTAATTGAAAAGAACCTATCCTAATGCTAAGACTAAACAAACTTTCCTTGAACAAAAACAAGAGAACAAGTATATTATGTTATTATTTTGTATTTCTCATTATAAATTGTACGGGGAAACAACATTATAGTGTTGTTAACAAATGTTACTGGGTCTGCTTGTGCTAATTGTTGAATATAAATTCTGTGTGTTTATAATGCATGAATGTCTTGTTAAAAAATATTAAACACTATAAAATTAGATTAATGGTAATTAGAAAAAAATGGAAATTTAAGGAGACACCCATCAGAAATTACAATTTAATAGCATTATAGTTAAAATTATTGTTTCACCATTAAACGATGTAAATTATTTTTATTTATGATTGTATGTATATTTTTTGTGATATGTGTGTTCTTATAGATGTCATCATGGTCATGCAGTCTGATACCTTATATATATAGATGTGTTCAATGCTATCTTGCCCGAAAGAATATTACAAATTGAAAAATTTGCATAAATCTTAGCCTGCATTTCAAGAATTGCTACCCAACTTCATTAACTTCTGCGAAATTATAGATTAACTATCCACAATTGGAATTTCAAATGTATGTACATTGTACATTAATTTTTAACATGATTAAAACATGCAAACAAGGAATTATTTGAATCTGGAATAGTTTTGAATTCTGGAAAGTTGATAAAAAATGCTTGATGAAAACTAACCTAATTAAGAAGGATTATCCATGCATGCATGGCCAAGGGGGGTTATCTAGTTCATACTGAAACATAAGTGAAAGTAAAATTAACTTTAGTCATGCATGCATGGCTAACCCTATTTAGTTGGGTTAGTTTTCATCATAAATTTCTAAGTAATTTTCCAGAATTCAAAATTATTCCAGATTAAAATAATCCCTTGTTTGCATGTATATTGGACATGTATGTACATTAATTTTTAACACGATTAAAACATGCATGTATATGACATGTATGACAATTACATTGCTGTAGAGAAACAAATTTAGTGTAAGCTGTTACTGGGTTCACAAAGACATAGAACGGTGGAGCACAAACAATAGTTATTAGATCTACTTATCCTGCAGTAAATGAATGTTGCTGAAATGGTTCTTTTTATACCCCAAGTGTTCTAAAGCATGCAGTATAGTACTGGTGGGGAGTCTTTCCATCTGTCTGAAACAGCTTCTGAATCACTTGACCATCTAAACCATATAATGCTGGTGTGCACCTCCTTTTTTAATTTTTTTATCATACTCATTTTTGGGGTTACCGGTTTCCCTTCATTTTTTGGAGGGTACCGATTTTGTAGCAGCAAATTTGATCAGTAGCCATTTTGTATCCACAACTCCTAAACCCCTTATTACAATGTATTTAAACTTTCTCACAATCTCACTCATATATTCATGATAACGCTAATGTGCAACTCCTATTTCTTTTTTTCATCTGAATCAATTTTTGTGATACTTTCAAGTTACAGCAAATCATGTGCACATGTTACACATTTATATCCCCTTCTCCCAAACCCCATATCAGAGTTTGATGAAATTGTATCAGAATCTCCACCATGTGCACCTCCTATTTTGTTATTTTTATTCTGAAATATTTGTTGGGGTTTCCCTTACCTAAGCATAAACTTTGCAAGGGCCAGATATCATTTGTAATCTTTAGTTGCAATAACTAGTTCTAGTTTAAAATTATTTTGAAGTTGATGGCAATTCATCATGATTGTCCTCTACATGTATCCAATAAGAGAACAATAATATTCAGCAACATTTTACTTTTTACTGACCTTCATTTTTACAGGAACAACTTTTTAAAAATTTTGCGGTGCAGACAATTCAAATTGTCAGAATACCTTGAGCATGTTGAGTATGATATTTCACTGCCACAATAATTTGATTATCATTAACAACCATGATTATATATAAAGGTTATATAAACATGAAAGGTTATTTCACTCCAACTATTCCTTAAACAGTTTTATATTTTAACACTGTCCAAAAGAGTTTTTTTTTAACATTTTTTCCACTCTCATGCTTTTTCCGAACAATTGTACTTCAACTTGTAATTTAAAAGGACCAGCATCTTTTTATTGACTGTAACCTACGTCATGCTATTCTCAGCATAATGTATATATTAAATTAATGAGAAGATATTTTGTTTTAATACTTCCCATTTCTGCATGATTCCCTGATGACCAAAAATAAAATTTTATCATTTCAGATTTTTACGTGGAACGTGAATTAATCAAGAACCATGAGAAGACTACCAACATTACTAGTCACTACAGTAATCAGTATGGTTGATATGGCAGTAATTACTATTTTGTTTTGCCATGGAAACAAATTTAAGCATTATTTACAACAAGGACTTTACCATTTTTCATTCCAAAGATCTGTTTTTGATTTGTTTGTTTTTGGATTTTTACGATTCTGTCTTACCATGGGGCTTTCACTATCTGGTTTTAGATATTCATATGATTCTATTTATAGAATAAGAAAAATTAAAACTGTGATATTTTTAGCTTCTTTAGCAACAAGTATATATACAATTATAAAACTACTGATACAATCAGAAATTCCAGGAACATTGACAGATAAGTGGTTTTGGTTGATATTTTCCTGGACACACCTATCTTGTTTGTGGCTGTCTCTTCATTGCTTATTTCTTAGTAAAATTCACATAAACATTGAGGTCAATAATATGAGCATAAACAAAGAAGATGGAGATGCTTTAGAAAGAGAGCCTTTGATTGGATCCAGTGATGAACAAAGTGACAAATCACCAAAGACGTCTGCCAAAGTGACTATATTTAGACTATTTTCTCACTCAAAGCCAGATATACCATTTATAATCATGGGATTTATATTTTTGACCATATCATCTACAGGTATAGTATATTATATGTAAATTTGACTGCCAGTTTACATGGTTGACAAAGACTGTTTACCACTTACTAGGCAATGTTGACCTTGGCTACTCTACTGGTCATAGTTTGGGATGTTCATTATCATTGGTGGGGCACTAAATTGTGTAGATTTTTTTATGTATAAGTGAACCAAAAATTTTAATATTCAAAAGAATAGTACATATTTCCTCAAATTCCTGTGGACTTGTTTTTTGAATTTGTTATAATCGTTTTTTGAATTTAATTGTTATAATCGATCATAATTTCCACTAAAATCTATTTTTGCTGAGTTCATGAAGAATGGTACCTATAAAAAAAAAAATTAATCCACAATAACAGTTTGACTTTAAATTTTTAATGGTCATCACAGTTTGATGAAAATCTTTGAAATATTTTCATTGTGAACTAATTATTTATGTTTTGTTCCAGGACAAATATTAATCCCATACTTTATGTACTACACAGGAGAAGTTGTAATATGAACATATTTGATTATGTTTTTCAGGACAGATATTTATACCATACTACACAGGAGAAGTTGTAATATGAACATGTTTGATTATGTTTTTCAGGACAGATATTTATACCATATTACACAGGAGAAGTTGTAGACAGTATTGTTATAGAAAAATCTCAGAAGAAGTTTACCCAATCAATCATCATCATGGCAGTCATATCTGTTATAAGGTTAGTACATCTGTGGTACAACTCCCTGTTAAAAGGATGGTCGTTTCATTATGATTGATTGATTGTTGGTTGCCTAAACTTTAGTGTCAAATGTTTCATGCGTATTCAGGAAGATATATTTATTATGAGGTAATTATGAAAATAAGAAGATGTGGTATGATCACCAACAAGACAACTCTCCACCAGAACTTAAATGACATAGAAGTTAACAACTATTGGTCATTGTATGGCCTTCAGCAATGAGTAAAAGGCCCTGAAATGACAAATGTAAAACAATTTAAACGAGAAAACTAACAGCCTGATTTATGTAAATACAATGAACTAAATACAAATACAACAACCATTGACAACCACGGAATTACAGGCTCCTGACTTGGGACAGGCACATAGAGAATGTGTCCAGGTTAAACATGGTAGCAGGATCCCAACCCTCCCCCTAACCTGCGACAGTGGGGTTACAGTACAACATATGAACAAACAATAAAAATCAGTTGAAAAGGGCTTAACTCATTAGATCGATACAAATCATAAAAACAAGTAACAAAAACACAGACCGTATGTGGGAGGGTATTTGTACATCCCTACAACAAAATAGACACTAAGAACAGATCTGAGAGTACTCGCAGTTACTGACAGCTAGTTCAAAGCCAATAACAACTAATAAAAAAATCATGTATCTTAGACTGAAGTATCAATCAGTACGCTTCCAACATATAATGAATTTAGTGTAAAGACGTCATTAACAGTCAGAGAAAAACATGACCTTGTGCAATGCCAAAATACAGGTATGGACATAGATCAGTTGTCCTTGGCATCAATGTGGTGCTAACTTTTAGTATAAGTATAGAATAAGGAGATGTGGAATAATTGCCAATGAGACAACTATCTACCAGAGACCAAATAACATAGGTATTCACAACCATGATGATAAATTTAAAGAAATAGAACAATTATAAAATTGTAAATGAAGACAGCTCTCTCACAAGCAAAAAGCCCATTTCTATGAAATACACCACACCTTATTTACTATGAGTTAAAGGTGAAATAAAATTAAATATTTGGTCTATAAAATCATTGTAAGGTGTTCTGGTTTGTCTGGCCGAAATCTTTTAACCTTGAACTTTTTCATGGTTTAATGATCAACATCAGGTTTTAATACCTAGGTCAGTTCTCGGCTACTTTGAGTAATAGGTCAGCTACAAAATGTATATTAGGTCTATGAATCATTTTCAGCTGACCTTGTCATTCTGATAGGGTCATTTGACCTTTATATCATTTACATGTCAGATTTAATGATCAACATTAAATTTTTTGAGATAGGTCACTTTCTCTTTTTCTATGAGCAATAGTGACTGTTATACATCAAGTATAATTTGGTCATGTTTGTGTAACAGGTTTAACAATTATTTGGTCATGTTTGTGTAACAGGTTTAACAATTATTTGGTCATGTTTGTGTAACAGGTTTAACAATTATTTGGTCATGTTTGTGTAACAGGTTTAACAATTATTTGATGTCATTTTTATGGCTCTAAGATACTTAAATGATTTGTCCAGATTGTTGTTCTAAGGTGAATTTTCCAGTGGGTATGAATATTAGGTAAACTTAATTTGTTACATGTATATAGATTCCTTTGAAGATGTACATGTTCATCTCAGACAGTACTTTACTGACCTTCACCTCATGTTCATAGCTCATTCATCAAGGTTGAGTTGATACGGGTACATGTGGTGAACCTTTATTTTTAAGAATGTAAACATATTATTCAGTTATAATTAAGAAACTTAGTGGTGTATCAACTCTTCATTGATTGATTAATTGTTGCTTAATGTCCAGTAGTTTCAAAAATTCATGATGGCATCTTTTAATATTGATTGGTATTTTATTTGAAATGATCTTCAAGTGAAAATTGTTTTTCACTATGTGACTTGCTTGTTAGCTCACCGCCATGTGAGCTTATGCCATCACTTGGTGTCCGTCGTCTGTTGTCGTCATCTCCGTCGTCATCTTAAACTATTTCAAGAATCTTCTCCTCTGAAACTACTGGGCCAAATACCTTCAATCTTTAACTGAGTGTCCCTTTGGGTATCTAGTTTATAAATAGTATCTGGAGTTTTGATCCATCAACAAACATGGCCACAATGGCTAAAAATAGAACATAGGGGTTAAATTCAGTTTTTGGCTTTTATCTCAAAAACTAAAGCATTTAGAGCAAATCTGACAGGGGTACAAATGTTCAATAGGTCAAGATCTATCAGCCCTAACCAAACAACCCATTGTTGGGATGCTGCCACCAAATTGGTAATTTTAAGGAAATTTTGCTGTTTTTGGTTATTATCTTGAATATTATTGAAGCTAAAGATAAACTGTAAAAGCAAAAATGTTCAGCAAAGTAAGATCTACAAAAAGTTAGTATGACCAATATTGTCAATTGACCCCTTAAGGAGTTATTGCCCTTTAAAGACAATTTTAAACATTTTGTTCATTATGTTTGCTAACATTTAAAAATCTTCTCCTCTGAAACTACGGGGCCTAATACTTTTAAACTTTAACTGCATGTTCCTTTTGGTTACTTGTTTATAAATTGTATCCGAAGTTTTGATCCATTAACAAACATGGCCGCCATGGCTAAAAATAGAACATAGGGTCAAATGCAGTTTTGGCTTTTATCTCAAAAACTATAGCAGTTTTTATTACTAAAACCAAAAGTGACAGGAGTTTAAGTGATAAATAAGTCAAAATCTATACCTGCTATGAAATTTTCAGACCAATTGGACCAACCATTGTAGGGTTACTGTCCGAAATAGTTTATTTTTATGAAACTTTACTGTTTTTGGTTATTATCTTTAATATTATAATAGATAGAGAGAAAGTGTGAAAAGCAAAAATGTTCAGCTAAGTAGGATCTACAAATAAGTCAAATGATCAAAATAGTCAATTGACTCCTTAAGGAGTTATTGCCCTTGAAATGTTTATTTTTTACATTTTTTCATGCAAGTCTATTATTTTTTCAAAAATCTTCTTCTCTGAAACTACTTGGCCAAATACTTCCAAACTTTAACTGAATGTATCTAGTTTATAAAATATATCCGAAGTTTTAATCCATCAACAAACATGGCCGCCATGGCTAAAAATAGAACATAGGGGACAAGAGCAGTTTTTGTTTATATCTCAAAAACTACAGCTGTTAGAGCAAACGTGAAAGGGAGTTAAAGTGATAAATGGGTCATGATCTATCTGTTATGAAATTTTCAGACATGTTTGACAACCCATTGTAGGGTTACTGTTGGAAATAGTTTATTTTTATTAAATTTTACTGTTTTTGGTTATTTTCTTTAATAGAAAGTATAAATGGCAATAAATGTTCAGCTACAAATAAGTCAACATGATCAAAATAGTCAATTGACCCCTTAAGGAGTTATTGCCCTTAAAATGATTTTTTTTTAATTTTTTGTGAAAGTCTAATTACTTTTTCAAAAATCTTCTTCTCTGAAACTACTTGGCCAAATACTTAAAAAAAACTTTAACTGAATGTTCCTTAGGGTATCTAGTTTATAGATTGTATTTGGGATTTGATCCATTCAAAAACATGGCGGCAGTTTCTAAAAATAGAACATTGGGGTCAAATGAAGTTTTTGGCTTTCATCTCAAAAACTAAAGCAGTAAGAGCAAAACTGACATAGGTGAAAGTGTTGAACAGGTTTAGATCTACCTGTCAAGTAATCTTCAGACCAATAGGACAACTTATTGTTGGGTTACTGTCCAGAAATAGTTAATTTTTAGGAAATTTTACAGTTTTGGGTTATAATGCATTATCTTTAATATTATTATAAAAAGAGAGAAAGTGTAAATGACAAAATTGTTCGGCAAAGTAAGATCTACAAATAAGTCAAATACCTGAAACTGAAATTGCAGGGGAGCGATATCAGGCTCTCATGAGCCTGTTGTTCTAAATAATGACCTAAAGCTAAAACTTCACTTAACAATATTTTGTATGATTTATAAGTATATGCATTTTATGGTGTAAGGTTGTTCGTGTTGTAAAAAGCCCATCAAATTTAACTCTAGAAATCTATAATAGGTATCCAACTAAAAATTATGTATCCACATTATACAGCAAGATCAAACTTTATTAGTTCGAATTGCAGATTCACATGTTTCTGTTTGACTAATTTTATCATAACGTTTCTATAGTTCTATTACAGCCGGTTGTCGTGGTTGGTGTCTCAGTTTAGCTATGGCACGGTTAGGAATCAGAGTACGGAATAGATTATTTGGATCTGTAATAGAACAAGAAATAGGTTTCTTTGATACGGTAAAAACAGGTAAGATTCAGTTCTGTAGAGTGTACAAGTCCTCATTGAAGTATTCTAATGCAAGATAACTTTCCATAATTAACAAACAAATATTCTATAAACGATGCCCTAGTAGTCTATCAATTCAATAATAACAATTGACTAATCTGATATCTTGGTAATCAATTTATTATGTATCTGTATTTACTCTTATGTCCCTTTGATGTTCTTTGTTTAAAAATGACCAATGTAGATACAAACATAACTGATATTGAAAGTAAAACTGAATCTGTGCAAAAACATTTCTTGAGGGGATCATTAGTGTGGATTTCTCACAGACAAGAACTTTGTGCCAGTGCATTGTCAAGCAGAACAAGCACACACCCCATCCCCATCCGAAAAAAAAAATAGTTAGAAATAAAAGAACAAGGCACCTTAAATTACAGATGTAAATCATGATTACAACAATATGTAATTGAATGTTATGTCAATGTCTCAAAACTCATCATGCTCATTTGCTTGCAAAAATGTAATCTCTCATATTTAGTAACTTTAGTATGCAATATTTATCACTTGAAGTTAGGCAACCATCAATTAATCAATCAAACATGTTTACAATATGACGATATGCATCTGTAAATGCTGAAAATTCTTTTGTGATATAGGTTTCAGCCTTGAACCATGCACTCCAAGCTACATCACTGTACTTGAATCCACACTGAGACCTGAACTCTCAATTTTAAGCTTCAAATGGTCTGTCTAACTAGAAATAAAGGTCATGCTATATTCCGGCAGCCTGCAGATCCTGGGACATTACTGGTATTAAAAATTGTGATATTTTTTCTTTTCAGGGGACATAACCTCACGTTTGACCTCTGATACAACAGTGATGACAGACACAGTTACCTTGAACATGAATATATTTACACGTAACCTGATATTAGCCGTTGGAATCATTGTGTTTATGTTCAAGTTGTCATGGAGACTATCTTTGTTGACCTTGATAGCATTCCCTATTGTGTTGGGTGTGTCTAAAGTGTATGGGGAATATTACAGAGTAAGATTTTAACATAATTAACCAGTATACATTTTGTTCTTGATGTATTTTTTTGTACTTTGTTGTTGATTTTTTATCAGCTAGTTGATGTTGATGTAATTTTTATACGACCGCAAAAAAATTTTGTGGTCGTATATTGGTATGATGTTGGCGTCGTCGTCGTCGTCGTCCGAAGACACATTGGTTTTCGCACTCTAACTTTAGTTTAAGTGAATGAATCTCTATGTCTTTCATGACAATAACTTGTGTGTAAGTCTATGGATCTCTCTGACATTGTACCACAAGGTTCCATATCACAAAGGGAATGCTGGGATTGATTTTGGGGGTAATTGCCTCCAAATTTTAGGAATTACGGGCCAAAAAGGGGCAAAAAACAAGCATTTTTCTAGTTTCATGAAAATAACTTGTGTGTAAGTGTATGGATCTTTATGAAATTGTACTACAAGGTTCCATATCACAAAGGGAAAGCTAGAATTGAGTTTGGGGATAATTGCCCAAAACGTTTAGGATTAAGGGGCCAACAAGGGGCCAAAAATAAGCATTTTTCTAGTTTCCAGACAATAACATGTGTTCAAGTGTATGGATCTCTCTGAAATTGTACTGCAAGGTACCATACCACAAAGGGAAGGCTGGGATTGATTTTGGGGATAATTGCCTTAAAATTTTAGGAATTAGGGGCCATAAAGGGGCAAAAACTCAAGCATTTTTCTAGTTTCAGGACAATAACTTGTGTTCAAGTGTATGGATCTTTATGAAATTGTACTGCAAGGTTCCATATCACAAAGGGAAAGATCGGTTTGAGTTTGGGGGTAATTGCCCTAAACATTTAGGAATTTGGGGCCAAAAAGGGGCAAAAAAAAAGCATTTTTCTAGTTTCCAGACAATATCTTGTGTTCAAGTGTATTGATCTCTCTGAAATTGTACTGCAAGGTACCATACCACAAAGGGAAGGCTGGGATTGAGTTTGGGGGTAATGAATCATAAGGGGGTTCAAAAAATTTGGGGGGGGGATTTTTTTTTCATTTTTTCTTTAAAATTTTCCATTTTAAATTGGTTATTTCTGATTTATATATAAAAGCAAATAATAATGATATGGTTTGAATAGGTAAATTAAATTTTATTAAGTTCTTAGACCACATTCATTCTTTGTCCGAAACCTATGCTGTGTCAAATATTTAATTACAATCCAAATTCAGTGCTGTATCAAGCTTGAATGTTGTGTCCATACTTGTTTGGTATTATATGTAATAATGACTTACGAAAATAAATTTGCTTTTTAAATGCTTATTTCACATGGTTGCACTTAAATTTCTGTTAAAAATCTGGAAAATTGTACTTTTTTATCAGGCCAAAAAATTGTTCTCTGATTTGTAGGTGTAGAAGGGCTCTTATTTGGTCATTATTTAGATATGAAAAGTGATTCAAATTGATGAATAAATATGGGAGAATATGAAATGGAATGATTACTGTCAAACTTTCCTTATAAAGAATTGACATTTATGTAGTCAGTGTTTCAATACTGACATGATTTTAAAATTCCTCGTGAATAATTAAAAAAATATTATGTAACTAAGGTTCCAACTCCCTCAAGCATACCTGTCAACCTATGACAATGAAAATGCAGGTGATGACCTGCATAGAAGAATGAAATCTCAGGTCATAACGCGTACGCACTTTTTCGAGCTGAATTTCAGTATTTAGCGGACATTTTTCTGATAATTTATATCAAAGTTTCCAAAACATGTCCACATGGTTAAGTAATTTAAAATTGTACATATTATTATTTCATTGCACCTGGAGGCCATTGATAGATTTGTGTTACATTGCCTTAATTCCTGTTCATATTCATTCCATGACATACAATGTGCCAATGTGAAGTTTTTATTTTATATTTGTGCAGCTTTTAAACAGTAGAACATATCATAATGATGATGTATCATATGTTGATATTAGAAAATAATAGTAAAAGTTAAACAATTAAAGGAGGTATAGATGAAAAAAGTAATTTTCAAAATTTTTATTTTTTAATTGTTCTAAGGTAGAACAATAAGTAAAAGTATTATTATGATATGTTTGTGCATTCAATTCATTTTAGATTTAATCTTTTTACAAAAAAACCATAAGTTTAAGGAGTATATTGTGAATTGACAAAAAAGGGGAAGTAACTCAAATTGTTTTTAAAACAACTTTGAAATACACAAATTATTTACGACCTAAAGCTAAGGTAATTGGTGTTAATTAACAGTGTGTTTGACACCAAAGCTGTCAAGTGAAGCCATGCACTGAAATGGGTCAATTGAGCTGAGTTTACACAGCTAGTTGAACTTCTTGTCCAGGAAGAATTACGAATTTGTCGGTATTTCATTGAAATCACTTTATATCTAATCAGTCTGAAGGCTAAGGAATCCGGGTGAAAACAGGTTATTTTTCCGAATTCCCGGGTTAATTGGTCACCCGGCGGGTGTTCTGGGTGACCCCTCAGAATTGTGGAATTCTCGGGTCACACCCGCAGGATTCGGGTCAGTTGACAGGTATGCTCAAGGCAAGTTGACTTTAGATGAATTTGGCTATTGTTTTTAGGTCCCTTTGTTTCATATAAAAACCGTTTTATGTATTTTATTTAATTTGCATTTACACCCCAAATAGAAAAAAAAGAAGAGATTTTGGTAAATGTTTTCCTGGATTTCATAAATGTCCAAATCAGGGTTATTCAGGTTCATTTTTTTTGTCTATGTATGCACTTTGTTTCCTCTTACAAAAAAAACCAATCATTTTGATGGCCTGTTTATTTCCCCTGCCCAAAAAGTTGCGGGGGACATAGATATACTGTGCGTCTGTCTGTCCGTCTGGTCTTGAACTTATATCATAGGTTTATATCAGCAATGTCTTGGACGAGTTTCGAAAATTAGTGCCGATCAATTATTTTTAAAAGAGTTATGCACCTTGGAAACCTTAATTATTGGAAATTTGCATTGTTAGCGCTCTCATGTGTACAATTTATTGCCAGATTTTTAACCGGATTTTCGAAGGAAATATCGGTTATTGATTTGGGGATGTACGGTGGGCAGGCGGTCGGGCGGGTGGCTGCTAAACAGTGTCCGTTCAATAACATGAAAATGCTTTGATGAAATTTTTTCAAATTTAGATATGTTGTTTCCTGTGACTAAATGAAGGTCAAGTTCAATTTTCACGATTTTAGCTTTTCTCCTTGTTGAGTTATCGCCCTTTTAAATATCCAAAAGTGGTATTTATAATGTGATTGAGTTATTCCTCTTTGTACAGAAATGGTTAATTATATATATAAAGTCTGATTACACTAATACTTTTAAATAATTTTCTCCTGTCATCAGATTATGACAAAGCATATGGTAAATGTCTTATCTCAGAATTATGATTGGAGTGACATATTTATTTGAAAATTTTCTGTTTCCTAAGTGCTGATGATTATAAGCTATATTTTTAGACATTTTGAAGATCATTACAGATAAGTTTTATAGATTTTTAAAAGACATTGTATTAATGATAAATAAAATTTTTGATTTTTATATGACCGCAAAAAACATTTTGGGGTCATATATTGCTATCATGTCGTCATTGGCGTCGTCCTCGTCGTCCGAAGACATTTGGTTTCCTGACAATAACTTTAGTTTAAGTGTATGGATCTCTATGAAATTTTACCAAAAGTTTCAATACCACAAAAGGAAGGTTGGGATTGTTTTTGGGGGTGATTGTCCTAACGGTTTAGGAATTAGGGGCCCAAAACAAGCATTTTTCTAGTTTCAGGACAATAACTTGTGTATAAGTATTTTGATTGCTCTAAAATTGTACCACAAGATTCAATACCACGATTTGAACGTTGGGATTCATGTTCGGGGTAATTGCCCAAACTGTTCAGGAATTAGGGGCCAAAAAGGGTCTAAAACAAGCATTTTTCTAGTTTTCAGACAATAACTTGTATTTAAGTGTATTGATGTCTCTTAAATTGTATTTTTTTTTCAAAAAGGGGGGGGTAAAAAAAATATTTTTGGGGGGGACAATTTTTTATCCTCAAGATTTTAGAAATTAAAAATAAAATTTCTGCAAAAACTTTTTTTTTGGAAAAAGGGGGGTGGGGGTGATGATAAACAATTTTTTGTTGTTGAGGGGTCAATTTTATTTCTTCAAGATTTAAGAAATTGTCAGTTTTCCAAAGAAAAATTGGGGGTCACAATTGCTAATTCTTTGTATATACATGATATAGTCTGAAAACAGATTTACTAAGTATTGCACAACAGCAGAAATCTTCAATTGAATATAAATTCAAATCATATATCCAATTTTAAGTTCTTTGACTACATTTAGTCTGTGTCAGAAACCTATAATGTGTCAAATATTTAATAACAATCCAAATTCAGACCTGTATTGTGTCCATTTTTGCCCCAACTGTTCAGGGTTGGACCTCTGCGGTTTATCCAGCTACGCTCGGCGAAGCAGTTTATTTTTTCCTTTCTTTGGTAAAATGGAATGAAGAATTTTGTGGTAAGTTTGTTTGTTATTCTGTAATTTTTTGAATGCTATATATATATTTTTTTTTTGATGAAGTGAACTCCTTTAAAAGCTAAACCTATATTGTCTATTAATAAACGTATTTAGATTTCTGATTTTGGGCCCAGTTTTCAAGTTGATCAAAATCAGGGTCCAAAATTAAACTGTATTTAATTTCAACATAAATTGAATATATATAGGGTTCTTTGAAATGCTGAATCTAAACCTGTATTTATTTTCGATAATACCACATTGGGGTCCAAAGGGTCCTAAATTAAACTTTTGTTTAATTTCATCAAAAATTGAATTCTTGGGTCCTTTGATATGCTGATTCTAACAATGTTTGAGTGTTAAATCATATCTAATTTTAGAGAACTTAGTCATCACTGATTGTTGTTATATTATTAATTATAATTTGAAAAATTACATCATATCTAATTTTAGAGAACTTAGTCATCACTGGTTGTTGTTATTATATTATTGATTATAATTTGAAAAAATACATCATATCTAATTTTAGAGAACTATTTATCCAGTTTGAGTTATTTCAACATAAATTAAATATATATAGGGTTCTTTCAAATGCTGAATCTAAACCTTTGTTTAAATATTAGAGTTTTGGCCCCAGTTTTCATGTTGGGCCAAGTCAGGGTCCAAAATTAAACTTTGTTTGATTCAACAAAAATTGAATTTATGGGTTTTTTTGAATGCTGAATCTAACCATGTATTGAGAGATTTTGGATTGTGGGCTCCTTTATCAAATTGGTCCACATTGAGGTCCAAAGGGTCCTAAATTAAAATTTTGTTTTATTTAATCAAAAATTGAATTCTTGGGGTTCTTTGATATGCTGATTCCTACAATGTACTTAGATTTTGGATATTGGACCATAATAGGTAAATGTCCAATTTCAAATTTTTGAGTTCTTTGACTACATTCATTTAGTGTCACAAACCTATGCTGTGTCAAATATTCAATCACAATCCAAATTCAGAGCTGTTTTCAGCTTAAATGTTGTGTCCATACGTGCTCAACTGTTCAAGGTTCGACCTCTGCAGGAAAATCCGGTTTGCTGTCACTCGACAGCCTCTTGTTATGAAACTCATATCATAGATTTATATTATATCAGCAGTGTCTTGGACAAGTTTGAAAATCAGTGTCGTTCAATTATTTTAAAAAGAGTTATGCCCCTTGGAAACATTAATTATATAGAAAATTGCATTGTCAGCACTCTCATGTGTACAATTCTTGCCAGAATTTTATCAAACTGATATCATAGGTTTATATCAACTATTTCTTTGAAACTTGAAAAAAAGTGCTGATCAAATATTTTTAAAGAGTTATGTCCCATGAAAATATTAATTATAACAGAAATCACATTGTGATTGCTGTGGAGCCTTCATTTCTCTAAGATATTTATAAAAAGTTTTAAAGAACAATAAAAAGTGTGTGTACCTTGGATAGAAAAAATATGTGCAACAATGGGTGACACTGAAACCCTGTTCTTTTATTCACAAATTTGTAATTTCGTGGATATTGTCTATATACAAGTGTATTAAAAATTTATACTCCGTTAAACATGTAAGTTGGTTTTTCACGTTAACCCCGCGAAATACACGAAAATTGGTATCCAACAAATAATAATGAATCCACAGTAATTTTTTACATTATAAAAAGAATGCTTATGTGTAAATTTGAAAAAAAAAAAACATTTTATTTCTCGTCATTGTTTTAACTTTGATGCATTGTTGTATTTATAGGATCTGGCCATAAATGGTCGGGATCCTCTAGCAGATAGTTTATTATTTTATAGGATCTTGCCTCAAAAGTTCAGGATGCTTTGGCAGCAGCCAATAATGTTGCAGAAGAAGCTTTATCTGCTATCAGGACAGTCAGAAGTTTTGCTAATGAAGATGGAGAGAAAGATCGTTACAGAACATCACTTCATAAAGCCTTCAAAATAAATGTCAAACAAGCAAATGTGTATGCTGGTTATGTCTGGTGTACACAGGTAGGTTACTAAACATCACTGCATACAGCCTTCAAAAATAAATGTCAAACAAGCAAATGTGTAAGCAGGTTATATATGTATGCAAAGGATATTGAAAAAAACAGATTTTTATGATTAGAAAATTGATATACAAAAACTCTTTGTATGAATGATGTGATTTTATGTTTGACAGTTGCCAGTTTGCATGTGATTTTGATATAGCAGATACTGTATTGGATTTTCATTTATTTGAGCTAGTTGTGTGGCCTGACAGCAAAGTTGTAGTGACACATATATGGATCTTTTCTGTTGTCTTTCATCATTGTTGTACATGTAACTCTTGGTTTATCATTAATCTCCTTAAGGTGGTACCTAACACTACAGGGAGATAACTCTGTAAAAAAAATCAGCTAAACGTTTTAATTACGTTGTATTGTTAAGGAAATATTAAGCTTCTCAATGATCAAAATTAGTGTTTGTCAAACTGCTATATAACCAAAGAAATTTTTCTGATAATGTGGTTGATTCAAATTTTTTGAACTTTTTATATTTTTGTCAAAGGGTCAAAGTAAACATTTTGTCAAAATTTTATGAAATTAAACGAGCCAAATTAATATTAGTCAAGGTATTAGGTACCCCCTTAATAATGACAGAATTCAACCACACTTGTAGAGATTCTTCTACAGGACATAAAGTTGTGCATCTGCTATATTGAATTTTTGGGGTTTCTCATACCAAAACATCGACTGCTATTTCTGCTTATATTGTAAAGTTTAAGTGTTAGGTTTTTAGCAATTTGACTTAGAGTTCATAGTATTTTTAACTATTTGAGCTAGTTTTGATATCTTACTATTTTTTCTTTTCTTGGGCCCTATTGTAAAGGCTCCTTCCATCTTTCTGGAAATATATATTTATTAGTAGGGCCCTTGATGATCAGGATTTTACTAGTAGCTCTACATTTGACAGTTTCTGTTAATATTTACAGTTATTTGAATACTTTTGATGGTTAAGTATATTGATTTTATATCAACTATCAGAGTTGGTATTGACAGTATTTGATATAGGTTTGAAACTGACATTTCAGTGTTGTATTTTAACTATTTGCAATATTACGATCCACCTTTGCCAAAAGAGCGTTGTACTATAGGACCACATTGCATGAATAACATTACAAACCCTTTTCCGAGATTGCCGATCCATTCTAGAAAGAAAACGATTAACTACCACACACAAGGACCAAAGAAGATTACCACAAAACGGAATGAACCGCAGAACCACACCACTTTATTTTCAAAATGAAATCGTACTTTCTTGTTTATTTGACCTGTTGATACTAATTGTAATGCTTTTTTGTTATTTAATGTTATTCAGGGTTATATCTGGTCTACATACCAGCTTTGATAAGTGTTTGGTATTACTATAAATTTTCACTTCTTCATACTATGAACATCAAAATTATTTATTTTGTAAAAGTATTTCCTTTCTCCATTTGAACTGTAACACACATACCTAACAACAAAATTATTTTTATTTACCTGTGTTTAAAGTAATTGCAAATGGCTGATATTTTGTTCAAGCATATTGTTTTTCTTAAATTGTTTAACATTTTACAGCGGTATAACATGTTACTTTAATTATTCTTCCCTTAGTTTATTTATTTTGTATTTACATTGTATCATAGATCAAATTTATTTGTTCAGTGTAAGTTCACTGGTGTTAATATGTCTTTTGATTGAGTTAAGCCATTTCAATTGATATTTTAAAGTGTGTCTTTCTATGTTGTGATGTTACACTTATTGTTTCAGATAAGGGTGAAGGTTTGGTACCATTAAAACGTTTAAACCCGCTGCAATTGTTTGCACCTGTCCTAAGTCAGGAATCTGATGTTCAGTAGTTGTCGTTTGTTGATGTGGTTCATAAGTGTTTCTCGTTTCTCGTTTTTTATATAGATTAGACCGTTGGTTTTCCTGTTTGAATGGTTTTACACTAGTAACTTTTGGGGCCCTTTATAGCTTGCTGTTCGGTGTGAGCCAAGGCTCCGTGTTTAAGACCGTACTTTGACCTATAATGGTTTACTTTTATAAATTTTGACTTGGATGGAGAGTTGTCTCATTGGCACTCATACCACATCTTCTTATATCAATTGAAACATGGCTAGTGTACCATAACCGCGAATACCATACAGATTAACCGCAATTTCCACAATGCCCTACATAAGCGACTACCATAAATCCCACACTATTCCCGACGCAATTGGAAATAGTACCTCATTCAGAGTGAAGCTAGTTGAAATGGTACGGAATGTCCAGTGAGGCGTTGTCCATTTTTTAAAAGATACTGACAATTCATTATTAAGTTTTACTTTTTGACTTTCATTTTAACATTGTCAAACCTATTATTGTGATGTTACGTCTTGTTAACCTTTTTGTAACCCCATATGAACCGCATTTTATGTACTTCTACACTTGTTTCCTATCATTAAATTGTCCTGAAGACGCCACCGTAAGTGGCGAAACATGTAGACTAGAATAAAGCATTTCCTTGCAGTAATCCAGGATGTTGTTGTCTTTTTATAGTTATATTTTCCCGAGGTTTTAAGACAACCACAGTATACTTCGGTATCCATCCTGATTACTCTACCAGCCTATACCGTTAGAAGGTGTTGGTTCACTTGTCTCGATATTTGCAATATTGTTTTATTTTTTCATATATTTTTTGTTATAATGACTATGAACGAAAGAAGATAGTAAGTCAATAGTAAACAAACTATTTGTGGATTTGAAGATTTCAGCATTAAATTTCAAGCCATTCCAGCTAGGTTTGAAAGTTTTATATTATATTTTCAGCTGTTTGAACTTGGTTTGACAGTAGCAGTATTATACTATGGTGGTCATCTAGTACTGACGAAGACTTTATCTGGCGGTAACCTAGTGTCTTTCATACTGTATCAAATGCAGCTAGGAAACTGTATAGATGTAAGTTATTTTTTGTATTTTAACTTTACAAGTTCAATATACTGTAAATTCAGAAATTATTGCATGCATTTATTATTATGATTTTTGAAGAATGGACGTAAATGCAAGATGAATTTGTATGATTTTAGGAAAAGCTGCATACAGATGTATGTATCAGGTATCAGAATGTGAGATATTATTGTGATACTCACCCAGTCGCATTATTCACATTGATAAAATCCTCGCAATAATTTCTGAATGTACAGTACCGACACAAATGTCAGATAGTACAGATAATGGAGAGGACTTTGACTAAATGGATTGTTTCATACATGTTGTATTTATTTTCTCTTCAGTTATATATCATGTATATGTAATGAAAAAAGATAAGAGAAAACAAAACAAAACAAATATAATTCTATAAATTTTCATTTTTTATATGCCCGTTTATGGGTCGTATTATGGTATACTGTTGTCAGTCTGTCTGTCCGTCCGTCGTCAACATGTCGGACATTAACTCAGAAACGCTTTAACCAATTTGCATAAAACTTTGGTGAATTGTTTATATCTATTGACGTGAGCTCCCTTTCTTTTTTATAAATTTCAGATTTTACGTTTCCGAGTTATGAGGTTTTATTCATTAAAAAAAGGGGGATTTTCCAGTTTTCGGACAATAACTCCAAAATGATTTCACCAATTTGCAAGAAATTTTCGTGAATTGTTTATATCTATTTGAATGAGCTCCCTTTCCATTTCCATAAGTTTTAGATTTTAAGTTTCTGAGTTATGGGGTTTTATTCATTAAAAAAAAGGGGCAGTTTACAGTTTTCAGACAATAACTCCAAAATGTGTTGAGCAGTTCTCATGAAATTTTGGTGAATTGTTTATATCTATTGATGTAAGCTCCCTTTTGAATTTTATAAATTTTAGATTTTATGTTTCTGAGTTATAGTGTTTTATTCTTTAAAAAAGGGGGGATTTTCCAGTTTTCAGGGAATACCTCAAAAATGCTTTCAGCAGTTCTCATGAAACTTTGGTGAATTGTTTAAATCTATTGACAAAAGCTCCCTTTTGATTTTCATAAATTTCTGATATGACATTGAGAAGTGATTGAACTTTATTCTTTGAAAATGCTATTGGCGTATCATGCGCTCATGGCGCAGCTGTTTATTACCTATACATAAGGTAAAAAAAGAGGCACAAGGCAATTTCAAAAGACAGCAAATTGCATATATTTCTATTTAGTCAGAAAGAAACAATTACTTTAACATTCATAAATTTGTTTAATTACAAAGAATTTTTAAAATCTCTTGCAGTATTGTCTTGTGTCAATAACACAAATTACTTTTTACTAAAGGTACAGTCTTCATCAATAGACAGGTTTCACATGTTATACTATATGTGAAGTTCCATTACATTGACAACTGCAGTTTACTTAAGTGTTGTTGTCAATGTAGTGGTATTTGATTTTTTTTTATCTGACAACCCTGCATACCATCTGGTATCCATTTAAGGGAACTCTACCAGCACAAAACATAGGAGGCATTGGTTCAGCAGATCTTTACATATGTGAAGTTATAAATGGCCTAGTTTCTAAAGAAGTTTTGAATAAATTTAAAAGAGACCCTCTGAGTGTTGCTGATGAAGGTGAATCCAGAAAAGCGCCTCAGACCCACAAAATTTATAAAATGCTGTTTTCATTTTTTTTTAAAGATCTGCCATCAACATCAAATATTCAAATAGAAAAATAAAACAAACATGGCCGCTATTACTAAAAATAGACCAGTGTGGTAAAACTGCAGTTTTTGGCATATATATCAAAAAAAAATCTGACAGGCTTAAAATGATCAACAAGTCAAAGACTTTTTCCCACTAAATTATCAGTAAAAATTTGACAATCAATATTAGAAATATTGTTCTTGATCTTTAATGTGCATCCATAAATCGGATTTTTGGGGATCTTTTTGGTTTTGTTTTACAGTTTTGATATCCTTGAAATTTGTAGGAAATGGGTGAAGTATTCACTGGATTGATGCAGGCAGCAGGAGCATCTGAAAAAGTGTTTGAATACATTGACAGGGAACCAGTTGTTAAAAATACAGTCAAGGACAGAATGGATACAGAGTCTGTGATTGGCCAGAGTGAAGTTGAATCAGACAAGATTTCTGGTCTGATAGAATTCAAGAATGTTACATTTGCATATCCCTCGAGACCAGAAACTACTGTGCTAAAGGTAAAAGTGAGAGTAACAACATCGTGTGTTAATACAACTGTTACACAGACATAAAGAAAGTTATTAAAATTTAAGTTAGTTCTAGGAATTTTTGGGGTTTGATCCTTAGTTTTCATTATTCAACACTTCAGGGCTTACTGCAGTATGTTCAAGAGGTAAAAATTATCCCACAAACTTGTTATACTGATGTCTTCATAATACTTAAGATGGGTCATTCATATTTGGTATTGCCAAGAGAAGTTGGCCCAATATTAATGTCATGAATGTGAGATGGAGTTTGTATGATGTGCCATTTACTATTAGGCTAGATGAGGTTGTAGCAGTCATGGTCTTAAATTGAGAATAAAATATTTCTGTTTAAATAAAAGAAAGAAGATGTGGTATGATTGCCAATGAGACAACTCTCCACAAGAGACCAAATAACACAGAAATTAACAACTATAGGTCACTGTACAGCCTTCAACAATGAGTAAAACCCATACCACATAGTCAGCTATAAAAGGCCCCTCATTTAGAACAATGCAAAAAGAGATCATAGTAGCATTAATAATGTTAATTGGAAGATTGTTTTCTGTTTTCAGAACGTGTCGTTCACAGTCCAGCCTGGAGAGGTTGTTGCTTTAGTGGGACCAAGTGGAGGTGGTAAATCTTCATGCATCAATCTACTAGAACATTATTATGAACCACTCACAGGACAAATCTTACTGGACGACAAACCAGTACAGGAATATGATCACAAATTCTTACATACCAAGGTTAGTTGTTTGTATGACAAATCTTACTGGACGACAAACCAGTACAGGAATATGATCACAAGTTCTTACATACCAAGGTTAGTTGTTTGTTTGACAAATCTTACTGGACGACAAACCAGTACAGGAATATGATCACAAGTTCTTACATACCAAGGTGAGTTGTTTGTATGACAAATCTTACTGGACGACAAACCAGTACAGGAATATGATCATAAATTCTTACATACCAAGGTTAGTTGCTTGTAGATCACTTATCTGGTGGCATTCTAGTTTATGGTGTCAGAAGAAAATTATCCTCAAGAATATATATATACAATATAAGGACAATGTCAAACTTTTTTGTATGAAGCTTAGAGAAAGGACGAGGTTTACATTGCCCTGATAATGATTTTATACTGCAGCTAATAATTGCTACAATTATATTTAAAGAAAATGTTAACAAAAATAAAATTTATTTTCCATCCCTAATTGAGCCCCAAATTGTGATAGATAGTGGCATGACATGAAATAGACATATCAGTGGTTGTCGTTTGTCAAATCTAGACAGTTAAATTTTAAACATTTAAAACACTCGGCAAGCCTCGCCTTTTAAATTTGAAAATTTAACTGTCTCGAGTGGATAAATATCATAACACACTTGATGCAGTGGTAGAATCTATATATATATATATCTACCCATTGTCTGTTTCATAACATCTGAGCAAATACAATGTACCTTTATTTCAAAGAACAAGAAATGTGTTTAACAACATTTATTTTATATCTAAGATTCACAAAATGGCTTGATTTTTCCCCATCATTTGGTACTAGGCTATTTTGTATACTGTGGAGTCTTCTTTTTTGGTGGAAACCAATTTATGTAGATTGAGTAGCAATTGGAATTTCTAAAATGTTGAAGTCTGCAAACAAGCATAAAGAAAATTTATGCTTCCTTAAACATTAGATTCGCATGGATTAACAAATGTTCCTTTATTACAATAGTATCGAAAATAACTTTCCTCCAGAACCCGTTAACTACAGAAAGCTATACCTTGTTTATTTTTAAGAAATTAATCTACGGGTCTTGAATTTATCATGGTTTTACCAGAGTGACAGCAAGGGGTAAAATATCAGCAAACAGGGCCAACTCGTGGTAAAATCAGTATAAATTCAAGCCCTCATGAATTATTTCTATGTGTATACTCAAAGCGTTTGAAGAACGTCATACTAGAATGTTGATTGAAAGGACATTTTAGAAAATGATCATCTGTCAACGACTTATTTACACAAAAAAATATGAATTGGATTAAAGTTTTTATGCTGTAACAGTCAGGGGCATTACTTAAACAAGTAACATTTAAAATTACCCATACAAGTAATGTTGAAAACGAGGCTATTTTAAATATAACTTATATAAGTAATTTTTCTAAATATTATTTTTATAGGTGTCCAACTACACAGATTTTACTAGCTTTAACAAATTTTCATGATCATCTGGTTATTTTTCCCATGAAATATAAAATTTAATTTTTCTGAAACACTAATTGCTTTCTGGCGCATTATCTTTCATATTGACCTTTATGTCAAAGATTGGTCTCTTGGGACTATTAAAATATCATTTTCCTCAAAAATCCTGAAGGTAGTCAGATATAAATAGATAGAAACTTGTGAATTAATTAAGACTTGAAGTTATTTATAATTTGTAACCAAAAACACTTACATATGTTCCTTAAATAAGTGTTATTACTTATTAGTCCCCTACCGACGAAGTCGAAGGGGACTTTAGGTTTGCACTCTGTCTGTCTGTTTGTCTGTCCATCCATCTTTTGAGTAATTTTATAATTTTTAAAAACAAAAATTACCTATATAAGTAACTAAAAAAAATGACTTGTTTAAGTAATGCTCCTGACTGTGTAATGGAAGTGAAATGTAATTGTAGACTTTGCAGGGTATAATGTCATTTTTGTTTACTACATAGATGTCAACATTTAAAGGGAGCCAATACAGTATCAGGGGAGATAACTCTTAATACGACAAAAGATTCAGTGAGACCTGTCAGAGGATTTTAGAATAATAATCAATTTAATGAATTATAGCTAATACGGCAATGAAATCCAAAAAAAATGGTACCACAAATAATTATGAATCCACAGCATAATCAAAAGCAAAATCACAAAAATACCAAATTCTAAGGAAAATTCAAAACGGAAAGTCCCTTATCAAATGGCTAAATCAACAGCTCAAACACATCAAAAGAATGGATAACAACTGTCACATTCCTGACTTAGTACAGGCATTTCCTTATGTAGAAAATGGTGGTTTAAACCTGGTTTTATAGCTAGCTAAACCTCTCAATTGTATGACAGTCACATAAAATTCCATTATATTGACAACGATGTGTGAACAAAACATACAGACATGATAGGTAAAAATGTCAAAATAGACATTTTGCATTATGTATATACATATATCTCTATAGTAAATGTATTTTAGATCAAAATGCAGTTCATGTTAATTGTTTTTTTAATCTTTGTATACAATTTCTTGCAGATATCCTTAGTTGGTCAGGAACCTGTTCTGTATGCAAGGTCAATCAAGGATAACATAGGGTATGGATTAAGTTCAGATATTACCATAGAAACAGTCCAACAAGCTGCTGGTATGGCTAATGCCCATGAATTTATTATGGAAATGGAGAAACAATATGAAACAGAGGCTGGAGAAAAGGGACAACAGTTATCTGGTTTGTTTCACCAATAAATTGTAACTTTGAAGAGAAACTGTAATGAAAGTATCCCCTTTCGAGAATATTTTTAATTATACCTCATGATACGTAGGTATGATGTTTTTGATCCATCTGTCAAAATGTCAGTCAGTCCTGTTCTTGTCATCGCAACTCCTCTGAAACCAGACAACAGAATTTCATGTAACTTTGTAGATAATAAGGACATACTATGTAGATGTGCAGATAGACAGGAAATTATTACTTAAATTATTTTTCAAGGAGATATGCCCCTTTGACTCATAAGGGAATATATATACTATTCAAAAACAAATTTAATACGAAAAGAAAATATTTAATATTTATGTTTCTATCTTAACAAGGATATGATGTAAATTGACTGAATTTAATTTTACTTTATGTTCTAAAATTCAACTGTTTCTAAAAAAACAAGTGTTTCACTTTCCATTGTTCAGTGTTTAAAAATATCCCCTCGTTTTTTACCAAAAAAGGTTTTCACTTTTTTCTTCTTCAATTTTTCAATTACTGTGGATTCATTTATATTTGTTGGATACCAATTTACGTGGATTTCGTGGGTACAGTTCAACCACGAAATTAAATATCTACAAACACGAAAATTTTCCATAATCCACAAAAATAAGTACCCACGAAAATAAATAAATCCACATAGTGCAGTAACAGAGAAGTGTTACATTTTTAGGTGGCCAGAAACAAAGAATTGCTATCGCCAGAGCCTTAATCAGAAAGCCAGTGGTATTATTACTAGATGAAGCTACCAGTGCTTTAGATTCGGAATCAGAACATCTGGTTAGTTAACTATAATAATTATACATATAGAAAAAAGTAAAATCACAAAAATACTGAACTAGGAGGAAAATTCAAAACAGAAAGCCCCTCATCAAATGGCAAAATCAAAAGCTCAAACACATCAAACGAATGGATAACAACTGTCATAGTCATTTGTTGGTTGTAAACAGACTAAGACTGCACTTTATGTCCGGCGGGACCGACTTGTCTGCCATTTGTTATCGTCGTTGTTGTGCTTACTACACACCTTTTTCAAAAAAGAGGTAACCAAGGGAGATAAACAATAGGGTAAATGATGCGTTTTGATTATTTTATTTAAATAAAATTTCCAAACTTTTTATTCCTTGAAAGAGAAGATATGTATCAAATGATGTCAAATATAAATAAATACGTGTGCCAAGCATCTGCTGTTTACAGAAAAACAATATCGATGTTGACCCACTTTCAATGCTTTACACTGTTGTCTATGCGGAGGGCAATGCATATTTTCTAGGCAAATATGGTGTCCATTGCTATAATACTGTGGTTTTGTCATCTTTATTAATGAATTACAAATTTCACCATATTTATTGTTAATGGACTAATCAGTTTTTGTCTCGCCTTGACAGAGTCAAAAAGCGAGACATAGGTATGCTGTTTCCGGCATCGACGGCGGTGTTGTGGTCAACAATATATTAGTTTGTGATTAGGTCTAGTTCATGGTGAACCACTAGTGGTAGGTCAATGATATTTGGTATGCAGTTGTATTAGCATTGGCACATCTCATTACCATGGAGATTATTTGGCCCCGCCCCCTCAGTCAAGGTCTGTTGACTTTGAAACTTTGCTTAGTTTACATGTATTAGTTTGTGAAAAGGTCAGTTTATTGGGAACCATTAGTGGTAGGTCAATGATATTTGGTATGCAGTTGTATAAGAATTGGCATATCTCATATCCATGGAGATTATTTGGCCCCGCCCCCTCATTCATGGTCTATTGACTTTGAAACTTTTGCTTAGTTTTCATGTATTTAGTTTGTGATTAGGTCAGTTTAAGTGGAACAATTAGTGGAAGGTCAATGGTAATTGGTATGCAGTTGTATAAGCATTAACACATCTCATTTCCATGGAGAATATTTGGTCCTTAGCCCTCAGTCATGGTCTATTGACTTTGAAACTTTTGCGTAGTTTACATGTATTAGTTTGTGATTAGGTCAGTTTAAGATGAACCACTAATGTTAAGTCAATGATATTTGGTATGCAAACGTATTGGCTTTTGCAAGTTTCATTTCCATGGAGATTATATAACCCCACCCCCTAATTATGGTTCATTGACTTTGAAACTTTTACATAGTTTACAAGTCAGTGTTTGTGTTTAGGTTTGTTTAAAGGGAACGACTTATCAAAATTTGGTTTGCAGTTGTATTAGCATTGGCACATCTCATTTCCATGGAGATTGTTTAGCTCTGTACCTTCAGTCATGGTTCATTGACTTTGAATATTTGCATAACTTACATGTTAAATTATTGCTATTTTAATTTCAACATTTGCATTATCAAAATAACAAATAGGCGAGACATATCTCTGTGTTAACAGTTTATTATTTGTGTATTTTATTTTTACTTCTGACAAGGATAATTTGTATTGCCTTATCCCTCTTTGTTCTGTTTCAGTAGATTGAGTAAACTAATACTTTTGGTATCCTGATAAATTAGTGCTAAACATATCTATCTTATTTAAGTTGTTTCCAATGGTTTTTGACTAACACTTTTCACAAAATATGATTTAGCTTATCAAAACAATATAAAAACTGCGTTTATTAATGAAATGATGTTAAAAATTGTTTAGCTTTATATACATTATTTATTCTTCAAGTATTTCTTATGACCTGACAAGTGTAATTACGGTACAGAAAATAGTCTAGCTAATTTCAGATTCAGGGACCTAAGAATAGAAGAACATTAGTCATTTTTATATTTTGTATTGTTTCATTGTTTCATGTGAAATAAGACAAATTGCATAAATATGACAGAAGGCCAATCATTACATCTGTGATTTTTTACAGGCATAACAAGCTATTTAAGGTGGTATGGGTGTCTTTCGCTATCTTGGATTGTAAATAACAGATCTAGAGAACCTAAGGTCCATATTTTCAATGAAATTAGCAAAATTTGATGAGGAATGCAGATAACTAATGTGAATTTTCATTTAAAAGAATAATTTTATAATATTTTAACTTATAAATATTAATATTTTTACAAGCCTAGATTATTTTTGTTTGATTTTTATTATATGACCGCAAAAAAATATTGCGTTCGTATATTGGTATGACGTTGGCCTCGTCGTCGTCGTCCGAAGACACATTGGTTTTCGCACTCTAACTTTAGTTAAAGTGAATGGATCTCTATGAAATTTTACCATAAGGTTCAATACCAGAAAAGGAAGGTGGGGATTGATTTTTGGGGGTTATGGTACCAACAGTTAAGGAATTAGGGGCCAAAAATTAGCATTTTTGTAACTTCCAGATATAACTTGTGTGTAAGTGTATGGATCTCTCTGACATTGTACCACAAGGTGCCATATCACAAAGGGAATGCTGGGATTGATTATGGGGGTAATTGCTTCCAAATTTTAAGGAATTAGGGGCCAAAAAGAGGCAAAAAACAAGCATTTTTCTAGTTTCATGACAATAACTTGTGTGTAAGTCTATGGATCTCTCTGACATTGTACCACAAGGTTCCATATCACAAAGGGAATGCTGGGATTGATTTTGGGGGTAATTGCCTCCAAATTTTAGGAATTAGGGGCCAAAAAGGGGCAAAAAACAAGCATTTTTCTAGTTTCATGACAATAACTTGTGTGTAAGTGTATGGATCTTTATGAAATTGTACTACAAGGTTCCATATTACAAAGGGAAAGCTGGAATTGAGTTTGGGGGTAATTGCCCAAAACGTTTAGGTGTAATACCACCATTGATTTTCCCCTATTAGTCTTTGTTAAATTTGCACTTTTCAAAAAATTGTGCAGAATTTATCTTTGTTTCAAATAAAGAAATACTTGGCATGAGTAAAGTTTTATCCTGTCCAGTACTATAGAAAAAATTTCACATAACATTTCATTGCATATAAGAAAATAACCATCACTGGAAGTTAACCAATCAAATTTTCCCCCTTTTTTAACCTGTGTACAAGCTTTAGTAACCATGTAACCTCAAGTTTCCAAAATATTCTATAGAAACCCCAAATAAAGAAATAATGGTGCTTTGAAATACCCAAGATATATGTTTATGACTCAGAAATGTTTTACTGCAATGAAATGTAGGATCAATTACCTACAACTGTCAAATTCAAGGGAATATTTTTTTTCGACCTATTTTCGTATGCAACCGGATGTGACGTACTATGATTTGGTGGTATTACACCTAAAGAAGACTTTTTTGTTGAATAAACTGAATGTGACTTTTTTCCTTTGTAATACTGGTTATTTCAAGCATTCCTGTCAAGTTTTGTCATAATCAGTTCAATAGTTTGAGAAAAATCTAGTATAATGTAAGACGACATCTACAGCGATTCGAGCAAAATTTCTTCGAAAAATTCAAACCAAGCCGCATCATGATAGAATATAGTGTGGACCAATAAATGATCAAATATTTATCTCATCTGCCTACAAACAGTTGAATATGATACAAAAGATGACTTTAGGATGATAAATACTACTAATGGACCTCTTATTCTTCCTTATAAAGTCTCTTTTGGTCCATTTATACCTCTCATTTCCTCAAAATTTCTACTTTTTAGGCCAATAAATAAAAATTTTGGGGTAACTTTCACTCATTTATGATAGAAATGTTATTATAAATGATTAATTGAAGTATTCAAGCTGCTTGAACTATCCGTATAAAAGTTTACTGCCTCCAAGGAGGTTTCAATAAGTCCTTGCGTAAAACTTAAATTTACGCCGCGTTCCAGAGAGGGACATACAAAACTTCTCTTTTGGTGAATAATTTGTTGTTACTGCTTTAAAAATAATTTCATTTACTTAAAACTATATATTTATTAAATTATTTCTTAGGAAAAAATTTCTAGTATAGCAGAATATAAGAAATAAGGAGAAAAAGCTCCCCAAGACTCTAAGTATGGCTTGTTCTGTCAACTAATATTCATGGTAAAGTCCTATTTCAAGGAAATTTTCTCATAAAATGTATTTTGGAGACTCAATCCACTCAGAATATTTCATTATTTGTAATATTTCACTTAAATAGCAAGAAATTTTAACACATGAGAGTACTCACAAGGTCAAAGGTGCATGTACAGCTTCCCATATTAGGTGTAATACCACCATTGATTTTCCCCTATTAGTCTTTGTTAAATTTGCACTTTTCAAAAAATTGTGCAGAATTTATCTTTGTTTCAAATAAAGAAATACTTGGCATGAGTAAAGTTTTATCCTGTCCAGTACTATAGAAAAAATTTCACATAACATTTCATTGCATATAAGAAAATAACCATCACTGGAAGTTAACCAATCAAATTTTCCCCCTTTTTTAACCTGTGTACAAGCTTTAGTAACCATGTAACCTCAAGTTTCCAAAATATTCTATAGAAACCCCAAATAAAGAAATAATGGTGCTTTGAAATACCCAAGATATATGTTTATGACTCAGAAATGTTTTACTGCAATGAAATGTAGGATCAATTACCTACAACTGTCAAATTCAAGGGAATATTTTTTTTCGACCTATTTTCGTATGCAACCGGATGTGACGTACTATGATTTGGTGGTATTACACCTTTAGGAATAAGGGGCCAAAAATAAGCATTTTTCTAGTTTCCAGACAATAACTTGTGTTCAAGTGTATGGATCTCTCTGAAATTGTACTGCAAGGTACCATACCACAAAGGGAAGGCTGGGATTGAGTTTGGGGGTAATTGCCTCAAAATTTTAGGAATTAGTTGCCAAAAAGGGGGCAAAAAACAAGCATTTTCTAGTTTCAGGACAATAACTTGTGTGTAAGTGTATGGATCTTTATGAAATTGTACTACAAGGTTCCATATCACAAGGGAAAGCTGGGTTTGAGTTTGGGGGTAATTGCCCTAAATGTTTAGGAATTTGGGGCCAAAAAGGGGCCAAAAAAACAAGCATTTTTCTAGTTTCCAGACAATAACTTGTGTTCAAGTGTATGGATCTCTCTGAAATTGTACTGCAAGGTACCATACCACAAAGGGAAGGCTGGGATTGAGTTTGGGGGTGATGAATCATAAGGGGGTTCAAAAAAATGGGGGGGGGGGATATTTTTTTCCTTTTTTTTCTTTAAAATTTTCCATTTTAAATTGGTTATTTCTGATTTATCTATAAAAGCAAATAATAATGATATGGTTTGAATAGGTAAATTAGAAATTTTTAAGTTCTAAGGCCACATTCATTCTGTGTCAGAAACCTATGCTGTGTCAAATATTTAATTACAATCCAAATTCAGTGCTGTATCAAGCTTGAATGTTGTGTCCATACTTGCCCCAACTGTTCAGGGTTCATCCTCTGCGGTCGTATCAAGCTGCGCCCCAGTGGAGCATTTTATATATATATATTAACTTCAAATGCACATATAGGAAGTAGTTTTATTTTAACAATGGCATCAATTTGTATGAAGTGGTTTTACAATTGACAGAGAAAAAACAAGGTCGGTCATATTGATTCATAAAGCAGCTCATCTAAAGGTCAAGTTGTGTTTTCAGATTATGAATGACATATGCAGTTCAAATTTATTACAAAAATACTAGTACTTCCAATTTTGAAAGGATTTTCAAGAAAAGAAGTGAAATGCCATTGAGATAGTATTTTTTACTTTGTGTCTACACTACATCTCTGAAGAATTCTGTCATTTCCATCTGCCCATGGTTTGAGTGGGTACAGAATGGGCAAAACTTGTAAACAGTCCTCTGTGACAACCTTTTGTGGTACCAGTGGCAGATTCGGAAAAGGGGGGGGGAGTTAGAGGGAGGATCAGGAAACAAATTAGTTTTATACGCCCGTTTACGGGACGTATTATGGTATACTGTTGTCCGGCAGTCCGTCTGTCTGTCCGATGTCAACATGTCCGACATTAACTCAAAAACACTTTAACCAATTTGCATTAAACTTTGGTGAATTGTTTATATTTACTGACGTGAGCTCCCTTTCGTTTTTAATAAATTTTAGATTTTACGTTTTCGAGTTGTGGGGTTTTATTCATTAAAAAAAGGGGGATTTTCCAGTTTTCGGACAATAATCAGGAATGCTTTCACCAACTTGCAAGAAGTTGTGGTGAATTGTTTATATCTATTGACATGAGCTCCCTTTCGATTTTTATAAATTTTAGATTTTACGTTTCCGAGTTGCAGGGTTTTAATCATAAAAAAAGGGGGATTATCCAGTTTTCGGACAAAAACTCAAAAATGCTTTCAGCATTTCTTATGAAACATTAATGAATTGTTTATATCTATTGATGTAAGCTCCCTTTAGAATTTTATAAATTTTACATTTTACATATCTGAGTTATGGGGTTTTATTCATTAAAAAAGGGGGGATTTTCCAGTTTTCTGACAATAACTCAAAATTGCTGTCAGCAATTCTCATGAAACTTTGGTGAATTGTTTATATCTATTGATGTAAGCCTCCTTTTGACTTTCATAAATTTCTAATATGACATTGAGAATTAATTGAACTTTATTTGTTTATAGTCTGACAACAGATTTACTAAGTATTGCGCAACAGCACAGTGTATTGCACAACAGCAAGAAATCTTTTATTGAATATAAATTCAATTCATATAACCAATTTCAAGTTCTTTGACTACATTTATTCAGAAACCTATAATATGTCAAAATTTTTTTACAATCCAAATTCAGACCTGTATCAATCTTGAATATTGTGTCCATTTTTGCCCCAATTTTCAGGGTTGGACCTCTGCGGGCGTATCCAGCTGCGCTCAGCGAAGCAGTTTATATTTTTTAGATTATCATTTAACGGGGAGGTAACTCTGAAATAGTGCATTTTCTGAAGGAATCTACATGAAATTTTGCTATTTTGTATTTTAGCCGGAAAAAACGTACAGTGACCCTATCTTTTCTTTTGATATTCTCAAAGCATCTTCTAAAAGATATCTTCTCATATTTTATTTTACAATTCTATCATAATTTATTAGCTTATAATCACATAATGATGTTTTTTCCTGTATAATCCATACAGAATCTGGAGAGGAAAATTGTAATCACTTTTGTGTTTAATCATTACAGGTATTACAAGTTATATGAAAGACCCAGGAGGGTGGGCAGTTATCACTTCTGTGTTTTATTGTAACAGGTCCAACAATCTATCTACAAGAACCTGAATGGAAGATCAGTTATCACTTCTGTGTTTTGTTGTTACAGGTCCAACAAGCTATCTACAAGAACCTGAAGGGAAGATCTGTAATCATTATAGCTCATCGACTTAGTACTGTAGAGAAAGCTGACCGAATCATTGTTATAGATAAAGGCTGTGTAATTGAGGAGGGTACACACTCTGAACTACTCAGAAATAATGGCAAATATGCTAGTCTGGTACAACGACAACTATTACAAACGGAGGATGAAGTAGAAGATAGAGTTATCTCCCATGATAATGATAGTCTTGGCGTAGGAATTGCCAAGAGAGATATAGGATTACATTTTAGGTCTACATGTCTAATCACGTCTTCCAGCTGGCACTGATTATTGAATTCATGTAAAATTCAAATTTTTTTACAGTCTATCATTAACAAGAATAGAATCATTAGAATTGCGATTTTAGAAATTTTTCAATATAAAAAAGAAAATGTGGTATGATTGCCAATCAAGTTCAGGTAGAAAATTGCTCATTATTTGTTTAGAAATAAGAAAAGAATGGTTGGGTTTTGTGCATAATATCAATTTTTATACTACCGCAAAAAAATTTTGCGGTCGTATATTGGTATGACGTTGGCATCGTCGTCGTCCGAAAAACACATTGGTTTTCGCACTCTAACTTTAGTTTAAGTGAATGGATCTCTATGAAATTTTACCATAAGGTTCAATACCACAAAAGGAAGGTTGGGATTGATTTTGGGGGTTATGGTACCAACAGTTAAGGAATTAGGGGCCAAAAAGGGGCCAAAAATAAGCATTTTTGTAACTTCCAGACATAACTTGTGTGTTAGTGTATGGATCTCTCTGACATTGTACCATAAGGTTCCATATCACACAGGGAATGCTGGGATTGATTTTGGGGGTAATTGCCTCAAAATATTTGGAATTAGGGGCCAAAAAAGGGGCAAAAAACAAGCATTTTTCTAGTTTCATGACAATAACTTGTGTGTAAGTTTATGGATCTTTCTGAAATTGTACTACAAGGTTCCATATCACAAAGGGAAAGCTGGAATTGAGTTTGGGGGTAATTGCCCAAAATTTTTAGGAATAAGGGGCCAAAAAGGGGCCAAAAATAAGCATTTTTCTAGTTTCCAGACTATAACTTGTGTTCAAGTGTATGGATCTCTCTGAAATTGTACTGCAAGGTACCATACCACAAAGGGAAGGCTGGGATTGAGTTTGGGGTGATGAATCATAAGGGGGTTCAAAAAATTTGGGGGGGGGGGGGGGGATTTTTTTTTTTTTCCTTTTTTTTTCTTTTAAAATTTTCCATTTTAAGTTGGTTATTTCTGTTTTATATTTAAAAGCAAATAATAATGATATGGTAGGAGATACACACCAAACAGGATGTGTAAATTATTATATAATAAGTATTGTGCAATAGCAAGAAATTTTCAATTGCACAGTATTGCACAATAGCAAGAAATCTTCAATTGCACAGTATTGCGCAATAGCAAGAAATCTTCAATTGCACAGTATTGCGCAATAGCAAGAAATCTTCAATTGCACAGTATTGTGCAATAGCAAGAAATATCCAATAGCACAATATTGCGCAATAGCAAGAAATTGTCAATTGTACAGTATTGCGCAATAGCAAGAAATATTCAATTGCACAGTATTGTGCAAAAGAAGATACTTCGTATAAATTGCTTATTTCTTGACCAATTTCAATGGGGTTTTATTCTTGAATACTTGGGGTTCTTTAATATGCTGATTCTAACCGTGTATTAAGTTTTTGGATTTTGGGCCCCGTCTTTAAATTGGTCCACATTGAGGTCCAAAGGGTCCAAAATTAAACTTTGTTTGATTTCATAAAAAATTGAATTATTGTGGTTCTTTGATATGCCGAATCTAACCGTGTATTTAGATTCTTAATTTTTGGTTCCGTTTTCAAATTGGTCTACATTAAGGTCCAAAGGGTCCAAAATTAAACTTAGTTTGATTTTAACAAAAATTGAATTCTTAGGGTTCTTTGATATGCTGAATCTAAACATGTATTTAGATTTTTGATTATGGGCCCAGTTTTCAAGTTGGTCCAAATCGGGGTCCAAAATTAAACTTTGTTTGATTTCAACAAAAATTGAATATATGGGGTTCTTTGATATGCTGAATCTAACCATGTATTTAGATTTTTGATTTTTGGGCCCCATTATCAACTTTGTCCACATTGAGGTCAAAAGGGTCCAAAATTAAACTTTGTTTGATTTCATCAAAAATTGAATTCTTGGGGTTCTTTGATATGCTGAATCTAACCATGTATTTAGATTTTGGATATTGGACCATAATAGGTGAATGTCCAATTTAAAAATTTTTAAGTTCTTAGACCACATTCATTCTGTGTCAGAAACCTATGCTGTGTCAAATATTTAATCACAATCCAAATTCAGAGCTGTATCAAGCTTGAATGTAGTGTCCATACTTGCCCCAACTGTTCAGGGTTCGACCTCTGCGGTCGTATCAAGCTGCGCCCTGCGGAGCATTTTATTGGTAATTTTGGTTAAGAGAAACTTTTTGGGCCATCAATAATTTCTAGCAGTTTTACAGTGTGATGGTGTACATGCACTTTCATCATTATGTAGTTGTTACTTAAAGTAGGTCATTTTAACCAGATTTTTATGAATATTCAGATGATTTAATGGTACACTTTTTGATGTATTTATATTTTGTTTTGTTTTGTTTTGTTTTTGCTATGTTTTTGTTTTCCAGTTATAAGAGGACCAGGCTTGGATATATATGAAATCAATTTTTCTCTATTGAGATAATAGATCTATAAACAAGACACTTTTATTGTCACACTGTTTTATTACATTTATTTTCTATGTTTGAAGACTATCAAAAGATACCCCAAGGAATAAAAAAAAATGGCTTTCTTTTCCCTCAGAGCTCCCCAGCTCTTTGATGTCTAATAGTGCCAAAATATTTTCTACAAATTATTATGTGATGAAAGAAATCCATTTTTATAAATCTAGTCATTCTAATTCCTAAGAGAACACTGGATCATGTGATCTCTATAATGATATTTATTTGATGACAGTACACAATGTACTATGTGACTTTTGTTATATACAGTCACTGACCTGATATCACTTTTCCTCATGAATATTTCGAAATAACATAAAAAATGTGGTGCACACTTTAAAATAAACCGCTACGCGGGTTATTCAGTGTGCACCACATTTTTGATGTTATTTCTTCATAGACAGAAAAAATATTACAGTCATTCCTTAAATGTGTATGATATTCTAGATACTCTCAAAGTAGGATAATTATCCTTAAAATATAGTATCAATGTTAGATACTTTGCTTGTTATCAGTTAAGATTTGATCCGTCTATTCTTAGGTAATGTCATAAAGCTCACATAGCTGCCACTATATATTTTGAACATATTAAAGCTGAATATGTGTTAGATTAATGCAAGGGCAGTAACACATTCTTAATTTACCATAGTAAAAAGTTATATTTTTATTTAGACTTCACATGTTGTCCAAATCATGATGTTGTTTCTGTAATATTAATTTTCGCCATTAATTATGAAACACTATTTTATGTGCCAAGTAAAGTCTGAAATTCAATTTACAGATAATCAATGTGTTCATGAAATTTGCTTTAATGTCTCTATAGAGTTACCTAACTGTTGAGACACCTATCAGGTGGTATGGTATTTAAGAATTATAAATTATATATTGTATATGATTCATAGTACATGTGTTAAACCATCTGGGAGTCCAGCTGAAATCAATAGTGTATATCTGTTAACATTTTATAGATATTATTCACTGCAAATTATTCCAGAATATCTAGAAAAGATAGATATTTTAACATTTATATAGCTAAAATATAATTAATACTTTTTCCCCACCACAGTGCAGGGCAGTGGTCATTGAAATGCCTGATGTCAGTCTGTGTCTCTGTTTGTCAAGTCTTGTACACCCTGTCACATGTAAATTCTTCACAGATTTTAATAAAACCTCTATCAGCACTGTCTTGGGAGGAATTTCTAACATAAGTGCTGATCAACTATTTTCGAAAAGAAGTTATGCTCATTTAAAATGTCAATTATATGGAAAAGTGCAAAGAAAGCAGTATCAAGCCCAAATTGCATATGGGTGTTTGATAAATATATGTTAGCAAGGTCTCTGACGAGTTTGAAAATCAGTGCTGATCAATTATTTTTACAGGAATTATGTCCCCTGAAATTTTAAATTTTATGCAAAATTGCATTGTAAGCACTCTGACATCTTTATTTCTTGTCAGATATTTATGACGTTTATATCAAAGGGTTCAGTAAGTTCTTGGACAAGTTCTATAATCAGTGCTGATCATCATCTTTTGGTCGGAATCGGGATATTAAATATGTATGGAAAATGCATTGGAAACATATCTCAAATTTACATATCTTTTATGATACAGTGTATTTTTGAAACTAGAATTAAAGAAATAGAGCAAGTGTTCTTGGATGGATAAAATATATGCATTATATATATAGTAGAGGATTTTGAAAAGCTGTTCTTTTATGTGTTCATGGTTTAGTTAATATTTTACTTTTTCTTAAAGACAACAGCTAAATACAGCATGACATAGTATTATTTTTAGGGAACATTTTTATTAATATGTTTACATAATAATTTAGATTTTTATTCAGATTACCCATTTTAGGATAGGATTTATGTTTTACTTCAATAAAATTATTTATATGAAAAGTTTTTGGTATTTAATTTTTCAATTCAAAGTTTTATTTAAAGTCTAATTCAATAAACTACATAAACACAAGCTCTGGTGAGCTTTTCAAATCGACCGAATAACAAAATATATACACACATACAAAAGTCATGAAAACAACACAATTTTAAACATACAGTGCATAGTAAGATACCATAGATCACATATAAAAGTTAAAAGCATAGTATGCAAAATAAAGTATATCTTAAAACATGGCACAAGTTCAGAATAATAAGCACAAATCAAATAGTCACACAAAAAATAAAAATAAAAAAAGCACAGACATGAAACACTATATGCATGCACTGCACTGGCATGAGCTGTTATTTGGATCCCATGTTTGTACCAATTTTTTGAATTGGTCAAAAGATGTTTCCATTCGACAATGGTTCGGCAGCTCATTCCAGATTTGTGCAGCATTATAGCGAAACGATCTTAAACCATACCTGGTAGTTCTGACTCTCCGAGTACTGCTGTTTTCTGTGATCTTAAATCATACTTATTAATTTTGATATCAATTAAATCATGAAGATAGCTTGGACTTTTTTTGTGAATTATTTTAAAAGTTTCTGTTGCAATAGTTTGTATTCTTCTTATTTTTAAAAAAGGTAATTTTGACTTTTCTAGTGGTTTTTCGTATGAACTATCATAATCTTCATAGATGAATCTAAGAGCTCTTTCTTGAATTTTTTCAATTTTAAAAGAATTTTTTTCGCTACAGTAGTGCCAAATTACTGGACAATAGTTAAATTTCGAAAGAATGAATGAGTAGTATGCTGTTAACCTACCTAGCCTGTTGAAATATTTACACATTCGTTTTAGAATATTTAATTCTCTTGATGCCTTTTTACATATTTCAGATATATGATTGTTAAAGTTTAAGTCCGAATCTATAGTTATTCCAAGAGGTTTAACATTTTCTTCACAAGAAATTTTGTTTCCATTTAAATTAAATGTCAAATTATGTTTATTTTTTTTTTCCAATGGCTAATAAATCATGGAAAGATCACTATAGAATATCAGACACAAGTGTGAAATGTTAAAGGTATAGTCTGCTAACTATGGTAAACCTCAATTTTCAATAAATGCATTTAATTTGATATATTTCAAGTTGGTACATGTAATAACAATTTAACATGAACTCTATACAGCTTTTATCCCATGAAAATACTGTAAAAAATCAGTGATCTTTGTGATTCATTTACAATTAGATGGTTCTCTCATCCAATGAAAAGAATCCATTGAATTTCATGATAAATCCCAAGTTTTAATATTTTAACCCAATATTTGTATTTAAAGATCTAGCTAGTACCACATGCTCTATCATATGAGATGCGTCAGATAGAAATCGTCCTTTATAATGATGCAAGTGCACGCATACATGAACATGTATTAGACTTTGATTGATTTTGGAACATTCGAATACAAAATAGATTATGAGTTTTGGTGTTTTGTAGATTTTCTTATAACAGCTCAATTTTCAAACAGTTACAGCTTTCCCATAGAGATTTTTCAACCCCAAATAGGTTAACAGATGTATTGATATTCATTTGCACAAAGTAGATTTCTATCAGACACAGCTCACAATGTATTAAAAAAAAACATTGTTTGCCCAAATACACACACAAATTTTAATACTCAAATAGCTCTGTTCAATTATGAGTTTTAACACATCATAAAAATTGATCAACAATCAAATTAGTCACACACTGTATAGAGAATAATGCAAGGATTTATATAGTGAGATACAAATTCTTGCTTAATGTTTATTGGCAAATATTTCATGCAAATCAATTAGAAGGACACATTTATTATATTATCATGCTATACTCCAGGAAATTTTATATAGAGTGGCCTGAGATTGTCATAGTGATCATACTGGATCTCAATAGAGTGGTTTCAGTAGAACAGTAGAATGGAGTATGTACAGAGTATTGTACAGCCATATAATGTATTGATGGATAAAAATCTATACATTCAGTTGTCACATACCAGTATGTAGTATGTACATAGTATGGAGTAACCACAAGTTAATGAATTGGGTGTGGCAATATTGCATGAAATGACCAAAAGCTGTATGCTGATGTCATGGATATAAAGTTGTTCAAAAATGAATATGGAGAGAGCAGACTTTTCAATTATTGTCATATATTATAGATGGATCCTTCACTCTGTGGACTAGTTAGAGTGTTTCAAGTAACCAGCCTGACGAATGGCATTGCAAAATCTTACCAATGCAAATGTTAAACACTGAAAACAATTATAAAGAGGAAGAATTTGAGACAAAAGGTTGGAATTTAAATGTTTTTTCAGAAACACCAAACCTATTTGATAAAAACTGACCAACTTTAAGTGTTAAAACTAACAAAGACATTATGGTAATCTTATATCCCATTTTTGAACATTGTATAAGGTAAAAAGGACAGCTAACCGACAACACAAACACCTATCGACACAGAGGTTAACATACGGTTTACAACCATATACAATACCTCAAGCTCTTATCCATCCCGAATCTAGAAACTCCATCAAAACAATTTTAGGCTTGTGTACATGCACTGGATATATGTTTAGGCTCTCGAACTTTAAAAAAATTATATATCTTAGAAAATCCTTCCGGAAAGTCGATATCTAAATTTCATAATAACACTTATTTTTGTAAGTTAGTACATTAACATAAGGACTTAATATCTATTTGTCTCGAAACTACTTATATATAGAGTAAGCTGTGACTTTCATTAAATTCTGGATAATCTAAACACGAGTTAGATAAAATTAAGAAGATGTAATATGATTACCAATGAAACAACTAGCTATAAACCAGACACCAAATAGTTTCGATATAAGCAAATGCAGTTCGCCGTATGGCCTTACGTTCTTTGCAGATGTATCACATAGGCATATAACATGATAACCAATCATACTATAATTATAGTGCACTTTCTCTGTGTTTGGAACCTTATTAAGAAATATATAACGAAAACTAAGTAAATATTGAATACAGAAACTGACAAATTGCTTGCTTCAATATCTAGAACGAAACAGCCTTAGTGACAGGGATACTGAACTAACAATCCTACAACAGAACAAAGAAATACGTTTTCCCTGGGACATAACTTCATGTACATAAAAACAGCATAACCACCGATTCTGCCTCTTTCTTTAAAGTCTCCCAAAAGAGTGTACTTTAGTAGTGCTTATGTAAATAATCGATTTAAGAAAGCAGCACCGCGGATGCGAGCAAATTATAGATCGACAGCGTGAAGTGACATTACTCCATTAGAATACTTGAGCTTCTAGTGAAGCTGTCTCTGCGGACTTTCTTAAAGGGAAAAGTACTTCTCTATAAAACACGATGACTTTATCTACAGCGTGGTGTCACTGTGCCCCATTAGAATACTTGAGCTTCTAGTGAAGCTGTCTCTACGGACTGTCTTAAAGGGAAAAGTGCTTCTCTAGAAAACACAATGACTTTATCTACAGCGTGGAGTGACTGTGCTCCATTAGAATACTTGAGCTTCTAGTGAAGCTGTCTGTACGGACTGTCTCAAAGGGAACATATACTTCTCTATAAAACACGATGACTTCACGTTATGGTCTCATTTCCTCGTATGATGTGTAATTCGGTGCCATTCATTAATACGCTACTATCATCTAATGTTATGTAATTCGGTGCCATTCATTAATACGCTACTAGTACTTATTATTTAGTGACATCTTTCGAATGTTTGGGTTTAAGCCCTCATGAAGTTAATCCAGAAAAGTGCTTCGGAAGCAATAAATTTATAAAGTGTTTTTTTTTCGTTTTCAAATCTGCTCTCAAATTAACAATAGTCGTTTATAATATTTCATCCTTCATTTTTATTTGGGGATTTATTTGGTATAATCATTAGTTTTGTTAGAATTGTTAGTTTTTGTCTCAAAAGCTTCTTTTGTCGAATAGCAAGATAATATCACAGTAGTGAGGTGAATAACTAGATTATGTTCCAGCTGACATACCAAATACAACAAAATGTGTAGGTTCGATATACTATTTATACCTACAGAAATCAATATTGTTTTAAAATATTAAAGTGTACGTTAAACTAAAAGATTAAATTTATGATCACATATACTATGAATGTGCACATATGTATTTATTAATCTGACTATGTTTCCAGTGACATTAGAATAAATATGATTTTAGTTTTGTATGTGTAGATACACCGAGGTAGACGCTTGCAGGAACTATAGTGTATAAATGTTGACTGCAGTATTTATTGTTTGGTGTTATGTACGAGATGCTGTAGGTTCAATTCTTAGTTGGACGACAGTAAGTTTTGTTTTTATGCATTTTTCTTTTTTTACTTTTTTGCTTTTTGATGTTTGGTTAGGTTTTCCTCGAAGCTTTCAAACTATGGTATAACAACTATTTTACACTTTTAATCTTCTAACCATTCATATCTAACGCAATACAACAAATCGTTTACAATCATAAATAAACAAGATTAAGAGCAATGAACATTTTCTATTTACATATTTGGAATTATTAAAAGGCAAACAATCGTATTGAATAGTCAAACATTGGATTTACTTCATCAGAGCTAAAACAAAATAACAACAAAAAAGTAAAATAAAAAAATACCGAACTCCGAGGAAAATTCAAAACGGAAAGTCCCTAATCAAATGGCAAAATCAAAAGCTCAAACACATCAAACGAATGGGTAACAACTGTCATATTCCTGACTTGGTACAGGCATTTTTAAAGGAACGTCGTCAAATATATACCATCGAAACGACTGTCGAGAAATATGCACTATAAAGGCTTCCAGATACCATCGGCATCATGGCCTGTGATTACCACAAACACTCAATTTTCACAATAACCATCCGGGATTGGAACGCTCTTCTTCCTGGTGCTGTATCAGCACTGTCAGTCGAGTCGAGGCTTTAATCGATGACAAAGCTGAATTAAATTCAAATGTTTTTAGGATGAGGGGTGGCTCTGTATGCGCACCAAATCCACGGCAGTGTTATCAGTTTGTTGATTGTGATCATTGTCTGACAGAAGCAGAACTATGGGTTTTTCTTATTGGCTGCGACACTGGAATTATTATCAACAACAGAGACGCATAAGTAGGTTGTGTGCTGTTCTGGATATATTCAGCATGTACAACTCAAAGTGTCTACGCTCAATTATATAAAGATCAGAAGATTCAATTTGTTCCTCAGTTATATTTTATGCGGCATTACCATACAATCCGTATTTGGAAAAAGATAATTATTCGTAAGAAATATACATACGTCGAAGAAACAGTACTTCATCATGTTCATATGACCTGAACATATTTTTAAGCTCCAAGTCACGGGCACTTGTCTCTGAAACAAAAATACTGATATACCTTTATGTTATATAGGTAAAACATGACTGTGGCTAAACATTTGTTTCTCGCTAAACAAATCCTTGATGCAACATACGTCATAAAGCATTAACCCCATTATCATATTTCACTTGTCAGATAAAGCTTTCTAGACAAATTAGTATGAATAAACTGTCAGGTTGGATTTGCGTCTATCATATATACTTTATAAATTCTATGAAACAAGTATACATGTCTGCATGCAATCTGTCATATAAAACGTCGATCTCATTGTGCTGCGCCGTTTGTTCTCAGTTCAGTTTCAGAATAGGTTGTTTTCCTTATGCGAATATTAAAATAAGGAGATGTGGCATAAGTATCCACCAGAGACTTGACAGGACGAAGATGTAAACAAAATAGGTCGCCCTACTGTCTTCAACAATGAGCAAAACTATCAAGAATAACGTGTGGAAATCTACTAAAGGCCTCGGCACAAGAAAGGGTGAAACAATTCAAATGGGAACAGTCTGTTTATGCTAAAACAATATGACAACAAGGACTACAACAAAGACTTCCGGTAAATTTCAGGCTCCTGTTTTAAGACAGGCACATACGGAATATTATGAGATTTAAAAAAAATATGTGCGCTCAACTCTCCACTTAACATGCTAACCGTGGACATAACATTAAAACACCATCCGCATAACATTAAAACAAACTGTATGTCGAAAAAAGTGCTAGAAGGATTCTGGATCCTACTGCATTCCAATTTGTACTTTAACATATGTATCAAGAAAATAAGTATCATACATGTACATGGTTGATCTAAGTCACTCTTCTCTTTATCTTCAGTTTCTGAAAGCATTATAAGAGATACTTTTCATATTGTGTTTGAAATTCTATCATATAGTTTTCTTTCTAGTTAGGTGATTAAAAAAAGTTTACATTGTATAATCTCGACATGAGAGCTTGCTAAACCTGTAATTTGACTGAAAGCAACCCCGCAAATGACATTTACCTTTAAGATGTTTATTTTACAATATAAGTAAAACCAGAAGTCCATCACTAGTAATGGACTTTAGGTATAACAAATATTTGCAAGATATAAGAAATCATATCAATGAGTTGTCTATGAACTAACACTCCCTTTAATTGAGTAAATGTGATGCATATGTGTGAAGGATTTGAGATATACCCTTTAACTGAGTAAATTGTGATGCATTTGTGTGAAGGATTTGAGATATACCCTTTAACTGCGTAAATTGTGATCATCATGCATATGTGTGAAGGATTTGAGATATACCCTGTAATTGAGTTAATTATGATGCATATGTGTGAAGGATTTGAGATATACCCTGTAATTGAGTAAATGTGATGCATATGTGTGAAGGATTTGAGATATACCCTTTAATTAAGTAAATTGTGATGCATATGTGTGAAGGATTTGAGATATACCCTTTAATTGAGTAAATGTGAGTGATGCATATGTGTGAAGGATTTGAGATATACCCTTTCATTGAGTAAATGTGATGCATATGTGTGAAGGATTTGAAATATACCCTTTAATTGAGTAAATTGTGATGCATATGTGTGAAGGATTTGAGATATACCCTTTAATTGAGTAAATGTGATGCATATGTGTGAAGGATTTGAGATATACCCTTTAATTGAGTAAATGTGATGCATATGTATGAAGAATTTGAGATATACCCTTTAATTGAGTAAATGTGATGCATACATTATGTGTGAAGGATTTGAGATATACCCTTTAATTGAGTAAATGTGATGCATATGTGTGAAGGATTTGAGATATACCCTTTAATTGAGTAAATGTGATGCATATGTGTGAAGGATTTGAGATATACCCTTTAATTGAGTAAATGTGATGCATATATGTGTGAATGATTTGAGATATACCCTTTAATTGAGTAAATGTGAGTGATGCATATGTGTGAAGGATTTGAGATATACCCTTTCATTGAGTAAATGTGATGCATATGTGTGAAGGATTTGAAATATACCCTTTAATTGAGTAAATTGTGATGCATATGTGTGAAGGATTTGAGATATACCCTTTAATTGAGTAAATGTGATGCATATGTGTGAAGGATTTGAGATATGCCCTTTAATTGAGTAAATGTGATGCATATGTATGAAGAATTTGAGATATACCCTTTAATTGAGTAAATGTGATGCATATATGTGTGAAGGATTTGAGATATACCCTTTAATTGAGTAAATGTGAAGCATATGTGTGAAGGATTTGAAATATACCCTTTCATTGAGTAAATTGTGATGCATATGTGTGAAGGATTTGAGATATACCCTTTAATTGAGTAAATGTGATGCATATGTGTGAAGGATTTGAGATATACCCTTTAATTGAGAAAATGTGATGCATATGTATGAAGGATTTGAGATATACCCTTTAATTGAGTAAATGTGATGCATATATGTGTGAAGGATTTGAGATATACCCTTTAATTGAGTAAATGTGAAGCATATGTGTGAAGGATTTGAGATATACCCTTTAATTGAGTAAATGTGATGCATACATTATGTGTGAAGGATTTGAGATATACCCTTTAATTGAGTAAATGTGATGCATATGTGTGAAGGATTTGAGATATACCCTTTAATTGAGTAAATGTGATGCATATGTGTGAAGGATTTTAGATATACCCTTTAATTGAGTAAATGTGATGCATATATGTGTGAAGGATTTGAGATATACCCTTTAATTGAGTAAATGTGATGCATATGTGTGAAGGATTTGAGATATACCCTTTAATAGAGTAAATGTGATGCATATGTATGAAGGATTTGAGATATACCCTTTAATTGAGTAAATGTGATGCATAAATGTGTGAAGGATTTGAGATATACCCTTTAATTGAGTAAATGTGAAGCATATGTGTGAAGGATTTGAGATATACCCTTTCATTGAGTAAATGTGATGCATATGTGTGAAGGATTTGAAATATACCCTTTAATTGAGTAAATGTGATGCATATGTGTGAAGGATTTGAGATATACCCTTTAATTGAGTAAATGTGATGCATATGTATGAAGGATTTGAGATATACCCTTTAATTGAGTAAATGTGATGCATATATGTGTGAAGGATTTGAGATATACCCTTTAATTGAGTAAATGTGAAGCATATGTGTGAAGGATTTGAGATATACCCTTTAATTGAGTAAATGTGATGCATACATTATGTGTGAAGGATTTGAGATATACCCTTTAATTGAGTAAATGTGATGCATATGTGTGAAGGATTTGAGATATACCCTTTAATTGAGTAAATGTGATGCATATGTGTGAAGGATTTGAGATATACCCTTTAATTGAGTAAATGTGATGCATATGTATGAAGGATTTGAGATATACTCTTTAATTGAGTAAATGTGATGCATATATGTGTGAAGGATTTGAGATATACCCTTTAATTGAGTAAATGTGAAGCATATGTGTGAAGGATTTGAGATATACCCTTTAATTGAGTAAATGCGATGCATTCATTATGTGTGAAGGATTTGAGATATACCCTTTAATTGAGTAAATGTGATGCATATGTGTGAAGGATTTGAGATATACCCTTTAATTGAGTAAATGTGATGCATATGTGTGAAGGATTTGAGATATACCCTGTAATAGAGTAAATGTGATGCATATGTATGAAGGATTTGAGATATACCCTTTAATTGAGTAAATGTGATGCATATATGTGTGAAGGATTTGAGATATACCCTTTAATTGAGTAAATGTGAAGCATATGTGTGAAGGATTTGAGATATACCCTTTCATTGAGTAAATGTGATGCATATGTGTGAAGGATTTGAGATATACCCTTTAATTGAGTAAATTGTGATGCATATGTGTGAAGGATTTGAGATATACCCTTTAATTGAGTAAATGTGATGCATATGTGTGAAGGATTTGAGATATACCCTTTAATTGAGTAAATGTG